AGGCATAAAAGGCACAGCCTGAGTTACATGTGAGAGAAATTATTATTGCTCCCTTATATTAATAGCCAATTATTGAATTGAATAGGACTAAGGCTTTTCCCCTTTTCTATTTCCTCATTCAGAAATCAGCCCTGTAGATTATTCAGGCAGCCTTTGGAGCATGGGGCTGATGATGGGAAGGAAAATTCAGATCTGTTCAAAAGGTAAAATTTTAGTTTAGGTGAATTGATGGATTCTAGCCTATTGTGTTTTACTTAGACAGGTCTGGATAAAAGTGGATTCCCCCTTTTGTCTAGATTACCCTAGATGGGTGATATGGATATAGATAAATCTCTTTGACCAAGACTGAGTGTCAGCACATCCCCAGATCCTCATTAGAATAAGCTCATCTCTCATTATAGTGTTCATTCTCTCATTACATGTTTAACTAATCACAGTTAGGTGCACCCCCTTTTCCAACGGCTTTATAAGTATTGAAAGTTCAACGGGTTGGGTCTCTTTGATCATCAAGAGGATAAATGAGCCCTTTTATGTCGACTACTTGCTAGCTGTCATTGATAAAATTGATTATAATTTACCCAGAAACTGTCCCATAGAAATTTTTACTCAACACATGTCTTACTAAATGACCTGGGGGTGGGGTACACTGGGGCTTGTCCAGCTATGCCAAGCAGGAGGGGCCCAGAATCAATAGCATTTTTTGCCTGGGTCTGTTCACACTCCGACAACAGGAGAAAATGCAACCAGCCCCTGCATCCCCCAAAAGCAAAAATGTAATAGCCCTCATTCCGTGCTGATTGTTTTTGTTGTTTAATAAACTATAATAATTTATGTGACAGACACAGAAACAGTACAACAAAGAAATTGAGCAGGCAGGGCCTACAGTGGGTGCAAAGAGATCCTTTTTCAAGGCCCTAAAGATGACCACGGTCCTCAGGGGGTCACCTCTCTTCCCTCCTGCTCCCTTCTTCCATCTCTATTATCTTTTTACATGTATATGCAGAGATTCTCCGGAACACTCATCTCCAAACACCAATCTCAAAAGTAGAAGCAAAGGATACAGGCAGTCTGGAGTGAGCAAAGACAGTCATAGTCCCACTGTAGAAGAGGGGGAAAGATATGAAGGGCAGGTTGGTGGCCAGCCAGAGCCCTGCACCTGGTGTGGCTTCCCAACTGGATTTTACTCCTGACATGGTTCTGCTAGATGAACACACCTCCAGAAACTGCTTCCCATCCAAAAAGAAAAAAGCTTTTATTCATGCTTGATTTTTTTTTTTACCTGATCTTTACAATGGTCTTATGAAGGAGACTGGGTGGATAGAGGGTATCGTCTTATTTTCAGTATGGCCCAGAGAGGGTAAGGATGGAGACCAAGGTCATACAGCAAGCCAGTGTTTGGGATGGGACTGGGAGCCAGGTCTCCTGATTCCCCAGATGGGGATCTTTCCATGGTGTCCCAGATCCTTCCATCTGAGCCCAGGAAATTGTGTAGCAGTGCCACAGTATGATAAAAAAAAAAAACCCTCCCACAACAGCATAATACCAGCTAGCTAGTTTTCCCTTTGGTCGTCAGGGCCAGAGACTTCAACCAGCGTAGGAGCAAGGCCCCAGGGCCCCTTGGGGAAGATGCCTCAGTCAGGCAGATTCCAGGCTTCTCTAATTGGTAGGAACTGGCGACCCTCAGGCCAGAGTGATCTCCAAATCAGACACATGCAGATCTCCTCAAGGATGATGATAAGTCATCGCACTTTAGGATTAGAACTGGAAAAGACCTCAGAGACCACCAAGTCCAATCCCCTCCTTTTGCAGGGGAAGAAACTGAGATCCACAGAAGGAAAGGGCTTTGCCTAAAGCCCTGCACATAGTTGTTTCAGAGCCAGGATTTAAACCCAGGCTGACTCCAAATCCAATGCTCCTCCGGCTACACCACAATTCATGTACAGAAATGGACACTGCACACATATCCTATTTAAACTGCACTAGGAAATTGCTATTAAAGCAATAGGGATGGGAGGAGGGGAGGAAACCCTCTGTAAGACAGTCATTCTGCTAAATGAAGACAAGATTTCTCTTTTGTGTAAATCTGGCATTTCATATATTCAGTTTTGTTAAATTATTATCTGCCTATTTTTTCTATCCCTCTCAGACCAGTAGCCTTTTTTTTTTAAGGTGGAGGATGTCACATATCTTTCATCAGGCCAGAAACTCTCTGAGGGCCAGGTTCCTATGCCCCCATCAGACTAAAGGGTCCCTACCCTGAGGGCAGGGACATTGTCTCCCCTGCCTACTTCCAGGTCAGGGATTACAGAGGATGGTGGTAAACCTTTCTCAGGCAAGAGATTCCATAAGGACAGAGGTCAATCACCGCCTTGGGCAGCAATCAAAAACATTTATTTTTGTCTTGAGAGATCTCCTGGGTAGGAACTATTCACATTCTGTGTCCCTGGCCCCCAGCAGTGGGACCTTGTACATAGTATGTTTAATAAATGTGCTTAATACTTGGTTGTTAAATCGAGTTCCCCTAGAGTGATCTGTAGCTCCAAAAGGGGCACAAATGGGGACCCAAGAGGAAATATCTTCCATCTCCAATAGTGACTGAGGCCAGATAAGTCTTGTCTCCAGAGCCCAAATCAGTCAGGAAGACGCAGCAGAAACTATCAAATCAGGCCAAGAGCTCCTCCTACTCATCCCTTTGCTCCACACAATGAAGACTTGCTGGGAGTTTCAGAGACCCAAGAAGAGCACAGCTGAGCCGTTGCCCCCATGACAAACCCCAACCTAAGCCTCTGGGCAGGCTGGCCAGAATCACCAGAAACACATTTGTGCACAATTTAGTGTGTATCTGTGCATGCTGCTCAGTCTAGTTTTGTAGGTACGGTGCATGAAAACACATTACAAATACACTTCAATCCATGTTCCAAGATTATATGTGGACACTTTTCTCCTTACATGTGTGAGATTGTGCATTTGGCTGCATTTGTGGGATTGGTATGTGATTGTGACTAGCTGTTAACGATAGCTGTGTGTGCATCCCAATATATGAGGTTAGGGCCATGAATGTTCACGTATGTATCTGCAAAGGCTGTGATTAAGCCTTTCCTACACTCCTAGCTTTAAAGCTGGAAGTGACCTTAGGGATCATCTAGTCTAACCCCTACTTTAGAGATGAGGAAACAAATGCAAAGAGACTGGTCCTTGCCCAAGGTCACGCAGGCATTAAGTGACTACATGTGCTGAGCAGCACGCCCCTGCCTAGACTTCAGCATAGGTGTAAAAACCTCTAGAGAAAGATTGCCCCTGAGACTCTTCCAACAAGCAAACCAAGAAATTTGATGTGAAAACCCTGCCTTGGGTTTGGTCCCCACCCAGAAGGTCCAAACCTAGGAAAAGCTTCTTGGATTTTGGTTTCAGAGGACAGAAATCATGAGTTATGTTAATTTGTCTTTGAGACTGTGGAAAATGCCCCTGCAGAAGGGCCTCCTTTTAGAGTCTGATCAAGGTGGGAGCAGGAAGGTAGCTACTATTACCATTAGCCTGAGGAAAGCTTCTTTCATTCTAAGGTTGCTTTCAGCCAGCAGATAAAAACAGAGAGATTCAGAACCTCTGGACTGGTGCTCAATACTGGCCCATTACACTGATTTCAGAGTTTACTGTCTTGAAAGGAGGGAGAATGAAAGGAAGGTTTTTAGACTACAGAGTCACATTCATTGGTGATTTTTCTCACCTTCCCTTGTCTTACATGTAACTTTGAGAAAGCCTCATGTGCGGCTAGGCTATGAGCTGCCTGAGAGCCTGAACACAGAATGTCAAAGGACTGAATAATCTTGCTTTCTATGTCTCCTTGTGTCATGTGAGGGGAAGTCTTGCATACTAAGCCATACTGTGAGTTGCCTAAAGTCCGTCTTGAGCACAGAGAATGCCAAAGGGCCAAGGAATCCTAAGTCTGTCAAACCAAAGCTGCAGCCAGGACAACACCTTCTGAACTTATACTCCAAAGTGTGGCTGTCAGAGATCATGGGATCCTGTCAACGGACTCATTGAACATCTTTGGGTAGTGAAAGAAACCATCCAGTAGGTGGATTACATGTAAAGCAGTGGGCAGTGGTTTATCTGAGTAAACAAAAAACAACAAATATCAAAGCAGAATTACTGAGGGCATATTTTAGGACTCAAATCCAAATGTCTTCCTTTTAGATATGTTCAGAATTTTCAGTGTCCAGGTCCCTGATGGGAGCAAAGCAGATTTGGAACACTGGCACAGCTTCTCTCTAGGGAAATAGGTAGGATTCCTTTCATTCAGGAACACAAGACCTCAGCTTTCTGGGCATCAGTCCCTGCTCTCCTGCCATCTAACAGCATCTCTTCTTGATGTCCCAATTCTACTCTAGGATGAGGGCCAGGGTAAGAGAACAGAAAACAAAGCTCGTCAAGATTTCAGCTCTAATCCTACCTTATGCAGATCTTCTCTAGTTCCCCTTACCCCTAGTATTTTTCCTCTGAGATTATATTTCATTCATTCATTGCAGCGTGTGCGTAAAATCTTGTATGTACATGGTCTTCGCCTGCTGTCTCTCTTTTGTATCTTCATCCCTTAACACAGTGCCTGGCACATGAAAAGCACTTAATGATTGTTGGGTTGAATGACTGGGAGACTTGATGGTGCTGGAATTGATGAATGACTGGAAGAGGAGGCTCATGCTCAAAGTAAAATGGAAATCAGTGGGAGAAAATGGGACTTTTGGCAAAAAAGTTCTTTCTCAGCTGTTTCCAACAATGGCAAAGGCTGAAATGTCAGAAAGCTGTACTGTCTGGGGCAGCTAGGTGGCACGGTGGATAGAGCTTCACCCTTGAGTCAGGAGGACTGAGTTCAAATCTGGCTTCAGACACCTGACACTTACTAGCTGTGTGACCCTGGACAAGTCACTTAACCCCAACTGCCTCACCCAAAAAAAAAAAAAACAAAAAGCAAAAAATAAAAATAAGAAAATAAAAAGCTGTACTGTCTTTCTAATGAATTTATGGTATAGTATGCACAGTGGAGATAGGGTCTGCAGGGTGTTGGAGGTAATGTAAGTTCAGCAGGATCAGCAGGTTACCGATAGCTCAAGAATAATGTTGTGTGGCCATAGCATTCCATCCCATCATTCCCTCTGCAGCTTTCAAGTCCAATTCCCAGGTGGTAGATGAGATAGACCTCACTGACAGCAATTGATCATGGCCAAGACCAACCACCCCTACAGTTACATTTTAGCAGACAGTAACAAATGGAATCTTGTCCAGAACAGAGTGAACAGTATCATGAAGGGACAGGAAACAATTCCACCAAAGCATTAGTAGAAAAAATCAGGGATGCTCAGAAGACTTGAAGGAGCACATGATCATCTTCAAGCATCTGAAGAGCCATCACGGAGAAGAGGGGTTTACTTGTCCTCCTTTGCCCCAAAAGACAAAACTAGGAGCAAGAGGAGAAATTAGAGGGAGGCAGAATTTTTTTTCCCATGTAAGAGAAAAGCACGTAACAATTAGAATTATCCAAAAATGGAATGGGCTGCTTTAGAGGACAATGGGTAGTGAGGTGGTCTAATGGTTAGAACACTACACCTGCAATCAGGAAGAGCTTAGTTCAAATTCTGCCTTATATACTTAGTAGCTGTGTGACCCTGGGCTTTCTCAGCATCAATTTCCTCAACTGTAAAATGGGGATAATAATAGCACCTGTCTCATAGGGCTATTGTGAGGATCAACCAAGATACTATAGAAAGAACTACGTAAACGGTAGCTATTGTTATTATTGAAGTCCCCATCACTTGTGGTCTCCAAAAATGAACATTTTTCAGGAATGCTGGTGATGGGGGTTCATGATCTTGGTAGGAATTGGCTCAGATGGCCCTTCAGATCTTTGGATTCTAAGTCAGTAAATACATATTTAGAAGCACTAGACTGACTTTTTTCAAGACCTATTATTTTTCTTCTACGAGGATAAATCAAGTTGTGCTCATTTTGTTTGATTTCTCGATGAGGCGGACCCAGAGAGATGGGTAGCGTGGTCCAGGAGAAAGAATGCTGGGCCGGGATAAGCTCTAGTTTCACCTCTTCTTGGACCTACTCTGCAACTTAGGCCCAAAGTTTCTCTCCTAAAACACAGGTTGACAAAACCCTGCCTCCATCCTCACAGGGGTATGGAGATAAAACAGGACTGGCCATAGAGAAGCATGTGCCAAATTAGAAAAAGAGATGGTCATCATACTGAGGCCGATTATTCCTTCATAGGGTCATAGGCTTCAAGTCAGAAGGGATCTTAAGGAACCACTGAGGTCAACCTCTTCGTTTTAGAGAGCTTCTGCCTCCAAATTCCACACTCTCTTCTCCCAATGGCATTTTTCTTGACTTAGACCACCGTAATAGCTTCCTAATTGGTCTCCCTGCTTCCAATCTCTCCCTCTTTCCAATCCATGCTCCAAACCACCAAAAACTAAGGCATCACAAAATCTTCAGTGGCCCTCTATTATTTCTAGATAAAAATGCAAACACCCATCCTGACATTTAAATCTCTTCACAGTCTTGCTCCAACCTACCTTTCCAGACTGATCTCATGTTACCCTCTTTCACATATTTTGTGTTCCAACCAAACTAAACTAGTGGTTGTTTCTAGTGTATGGCATCTCTCATTGCTATGCCTTTGCACTGGGCTGTTTACCACCTCCCTACCCCCGTGCTTAGAATGCACTCTACCTCTGGTAGAATATGTATCTTCCTTCAAAGTTCAAGTACCTGAAAAGGCCTTTCATTTACTTATTCATGTACACACTGTGGAGCTCAATGATCTGATTCACCTCCCCCACTTCCCTCTGCATACGGTGCAAGTGGCAGTAGTTTATCCATGAGCTGCAGTGACCCTGGCACAGTGGTGCTGTGGTCCTTCACTGGGAAAGTGAAGAAATGGACCAGATGTCTATGGGAATCAGGACCATGTTTTCATGGAGAAACACAGTTTTTGGGATACCTCAGGCTTTAGCAATGAACCAAAAGACAACTCAAGCCACGGAATCTTCTGCAGAGAGAGGCCTTCAAGGCAAGAACCAAGACCTGCCCATTTTTCCTTAACACAATAGTCTCTTAAGCCATCTAAACCAAAAGACCTCTCTCCTGCAATGCTTACTTCTGCCTACTCTGGTCCTGGAAGTTAAGGATACACAGTGGGATGCCCAGCCACACTGAGGAGGTCTTCAGTCCGCGCTCTCAACTTCAACAGTAAGGGGCATCAGTTTACTAAGACCTGCTCAGTTCCACATCCTAACTTGTCCTCACAGGATTCAAGGATGGGAAAGGGAATGAAGACTAGCTAAGGACTCTGTGGATTGTTTAACCTAGAGGAAAATATTTGAGAGGGGGCATGACAGTTTTCTCCACTTAATTATTTGAAGGGCTATCATGTAAAAGACATTGGTCCAGCTAGAGCCCAGAGAGAAAACCAATCCTGTAGCTAAAAGTCATGGAGAGGCAAATTTCACTTTGATATAAGAATTACTTCCTGACAACGAGAGCTGTCCAAAAGCTAAATGAACTTTTGGGATGGTGGCAGATTCCCATTTATTGGACACCTTCAAGGCTAGATGATTATTCTGCTAAATCTCCCATTCAATGGGTAAGAGGGTGAGACTCTTGCTGCTGAGGTACAGGCTGGACTAGCTGCTTTTGAGCCAAATCTGATAGAATGTAAGCTCCTTGAGGGCAGGAACTGTTTCCTTTTGTGTTTATATCCCCAGCACCTAGAATAGCGCCTAAGACGTGCTCAATAAATGTTGAGATCTGTGACTCTGTGAACTCTCCTGTACTGCTGCTTATAATGTGAAGCTGAGGAAAAGAGATTTGGAAGGGTTGCAAGTAGCCATCTACTTTGTCCGCCATTCCTTCCCTGTTGCTCCTTATGCTCAGTTCTCAGGCCTTAAACATGATGCCAACTTCCTGAAGAGGTCTTGAGTGGATTGCCAAGGATTTTCCTAGGAGGGGTGTGTTGGCACATGAAAACATCGGGACTGGCAGGAACAAGGTGAGACCTCTAGGTTCTTCGTCCTTCTGGCTGCTTCTGGAGGAATCTGCCTTGGTGGCTAGGTTGCTCCTTACTCTCTATTGAAGATGCCACAGGTGTCAGAGTTGGGGGGTGCTCTGAAAAGTCTCTGTCCCTTAACCTTGCTAGTCAGGAGATGAAAAGATGGTAATCTGCCAGGCTACAACATACACTGATCCTGCTTAGGAAGAAACTACAGAATTCTCTGTGGCAAGTCTTATATTACAATGCGCCTCTTTATATCAATCAACATGATGAGAGCTATCAGGGCACCAGAATCTGTTGGATTCTGACAGTACCATTCAAGGTTGCATTTTTTATCCCTACCCCACCCCCTAGCAATTATACCCCTGGTGGGCTTTTACCCCTACCTTTCCCCCATTCCTTTATTCCGGGTGTAAAAGTTACTAGTTATGGCTCCAAATATGGTATCCATTCCTTGTTCTGCACATTCAAACTCTCATGGGTTCAAATCTGAGCTCCTTTGACTCTGGATTCTGGGCCACTTCCACCACATTGTGGCATTCAATCCATATCAGATGACCTCATCATGAAAGTTGTGGGGGGAAAGTCTCAACCTGGGGTAGAGGCTGGACTAGATGACTCTTGTGTTCCTTCCATTGGGAGGGATTCCATGTATTAGGGTCAAAGTTTTGTTCTCTATAATCTCTAGATCACATGAAAGAGATCCCATCCTCTGCTCCAATTCTCCCCCCGTGGCTCTGTAGACTTTCCAGGATCCAAGAAAGATGGGAGAAACTGCTGAGCTTGAATCTGTAGGTGTAGACGAAGAGAGCAGCCACTCCAGAAGAATCCATTTACTTCCTCTCCCATGAAATAACTTTCCTTTTAGAGAAGAAACCCAGAAGAACGCAACCAGTTGTGGGCAAGATGATGACCTCAGGGGATCAGAAATAAGTTTTTGGTCTGGTAATCCAAATCTGGACCCAAGGGAGTCAGAGAGAAAACTTTTGGAAGGCAGCTTCCTGTCCAGGATATAATGGATTGGGAATCAGACGCCCTTAGTTTGAATCCTGGTTTTATTATTTATTAATTAGTGTGACTTTGGACAAGTCACTTAACCTCCTTGGCCCTCATTGTCCTAATCTGTGAAATGGAGAGGAGAGGCTGGTTTAGACTATGTGGTCTCTGAGGGGTTTTTTTGGTTTTTTGTTTTGGTTACTCCCTAAGTCCTAGGAAATAAACCTGCCTTTCCATATCGCTTCCTTCTGTTTCTGAAGAGGTAAACAAAACCAACATTTGCATCTTTGTACTAGCTCTTCTTCTGGGGACCAGCTGTGTCCTCTTTATTTGGGTGTCCCTTTAGCTGGCCACAGAAGGAATCACAGCCAGAGACTTCCCAGAGAATTGGGCGAGACTAGAACCCAGCATATGATCCAACCATCCTGCAGCCCCCACGTATAATCTGAGGGCAATTCAGTAACTAATGAACCAAATGGAAGAATGTAAGTTCCACCCCCTCCCCCCAACTACAATATAAGTTTCTTGAGGGCAGAGGATGTTTCCCTTTACCTTTATAACCCTTGCACATAGTAGGCATTTAATAATGCTTATTGAATTTAATTGCATTGCATTGCTGAATGGAAGATTAAAACCCTGCCAGTCATAGGGTGGATGAACATCTCATTCAGGAAAGAAATGTCCCTCTGGGAAGTCTCCCCCAGAGACACTTGATCCCTTTGCTACCAGGGACTCAGAAGCAAGACATGCCTCCTCTCCTCACTTCAAATACAAGGCCTTTTTTTCTTCTGGACCATGGACAATGTCCACCCTGATACAAAAATGATACATCCAGCTCTCTCTTCCTCTGTCTCTAAGACATATAAGATGCATATCACTTAAGAGGCTAAGTTCTGACAGTATTAAAATGTTTGTGCTAATTCTTGTGACCTGCATTCAACGTGGTAACTGCTGGTAGGAGCATCAGTTTGACTGCTTTGTCTTATTGAACTGTTATAACACCATCACTGTCCAAAACACCAAAATACTGGGAAGGGGGTGGAAGGATGGAGAGCCCAGTGAATAGCTCCCCACTTGCCACCGCCATCTCTGTGTACCAAGGCAGTTCAGCCAAGTTGTCTCACTGACCATTCCGAGCACGCCATTAACTAAAACTATGTCACGTCCTACACCCTCAGTAGCTGTGCCTAGAACCATCCTCCTGCTTTGACCCCCAAACACACATAAACTGGCAATCCTTTCCCTTCTCCCTCACCAGACTCCACATTCATACACTCAAATCCATTGGATGGATTCCACCCAATGTGTGCAGAAGAGATACAATCCAAAGATTGCGGATTGGGAAGCTCCTAGAGACTGGCCACATGGAGAAGACTGAAGGCTAGCTGGCTGGCTGGAGGGGATCGAAGGTGAGACAGAAACAGAGGGCCTGGTATGGATTAAGTTTGGAAGAAGAGTAGTAAGCCATTCATCTGTTCTCCAGGGCAGAAACGAGGCATCCACTGGGGAGGCTCAGTGATATGGTGACGAGTGGGTCAAAGCCAGGTGGTAAAGATCCCTGATGATACCTACATAAGTCCTCTGGAGTCTCCTGGTAGAAGTAGAAAAACAGAAGGGGAAAGAAATACCCAGAAAAAGAAGAGGGAGAAGAAAAAGAAGAACAGATAACAAGCAGCTTAATTCACAAGAGTTAAACCAGGAACCACCCGAGAAGAGCAAGAAGAGTCCAGTCTTATGTGTTGTTTAAGTGCGGCGAGTTTGGGACTTCCTCTTCTTCCTGGTCGTCCTTCATACCTTTCAGTCTCTGTCGAGCAAAGTCCTCAAACACAATGTCGTCATCGCTGACAGGAGAGAGAAGGGAAAAGGAGCTGTCAGTAGGGGAAGGGACATCCATACAGAGGGGTAGAAACCAGGGCAACTTAGGGGCAAGGTACCAGAAAGGCTGCTAGCTGCCCCAGGCCAGGCCATACATGACTACAGCCCATAGAGTAGCTCCAGGTGGGTCAGAAATAGACACTGCTTTCTATAATGAAAGCTAGGGAGGAGCTGGTGTCGAGGGGACAAACATCTGGGGTCAATTCACAACCAGTTGTGAATTGATGTGGAAACAAGAAAGGAAGAGAGAATCACAAAATCTTTGAGGTAGAAGGGACCCCAGAGGGCAAGTAATTCAAACCCCACCTGAACAGGAATGTACTCTACAACATTCCTGACAACGTGCATCCCATGGGCTACAGTACACATCCATGTTCTGGAGTAACTAGGAAGCATTTCATGTGAAAAAGATCTGGAGCCCTTAGTAGACCACCAACTCAACAATGCAACCTGATAGACAAAAAGAATAATAATATGAGCTTAGGCTTCATTAGGAAAGGTGCAGAATTCAGAACGATAGCTCTGCTGCCCTCTGCTCTGGACAGATGCCTTTGAGAGTACTGTGTCTGGTGCAGGGCACGGCATTTTAAGGATGACAGTGGCCAACTGGAGCACATCCAGAGGATGGCAAGGGGACTGGAAACCTTGCCACATGAGATCAAGTTGAAAGAATTGGGTATATTGTTTACCTACAAAGAAGGGTGTATGTTACAGCTATCTTTGGGTATCAACAGGCCTCAGGTGCAGAAAGGGATTAGACTCATTCTGTTTGGCCCTAGTGCACAGAACATGGTGCAATGAGAGGAAGTTAAAGAGAGGAAGATTTTGTTTTAACATAAGGGAAAACCTCCTAACAATGAAAACTGTCAGGAGATAGACCCAAATATCTCTCATCAGGGTGATCACTCTTTCTCTCACTGACCCAGTGAATTTTCCATCACTAGAGGTCTTCAGTGGAGGCTAGACAACCACTTGTCAAAGATATTAGCAGAGAGATTTCTCTTTGGATATAGATTGGATTACATGCATTCTGAGGTTCCTTGCAACCCTTGAGATTCTATGACTCCTGGGAAACCAGGGCTGATTCTCGGGAGTCAGGAAAAAAACCAAAAACCTCCAACCACCTGAAAGCACAGCCTAACAGGCACTGGTACCAGCAAGAACCAAGCAGGGCAGAGCAGGCAAGGCGGAGGGCTTCAGGGTGGGAGCAGATGTCTCCTCGTGGCTTTCCTAGCTCAGGATACCCCTTGGGGGTGAAAGACAAGACAACACAAGGAAAAGGAGAGGGCCCAGCTTGCATGCTAAGGGTTTCCGGCAGCCAAGCTGCTGCCAGACATGCCAGGCCAGGCAGGATTCCTTGCAGGTGCGTTAGGCCAAGCATTCCCCAAACCATGTCCACTAGAACCCTGGGGTTTTGAAACAAGAAAATTTCAATACTGAGCCATATTCTCCATTGCCTTAAAATATGAAGTTTGAAATTTTAGACTAAAAATACTTAAAATGGCAATCTGAAAATGTGAAAATATGCTCGAAAATTTCCCCCACCCCATCTTTATGGGGAGGGGTACCCCTAGATTCTCCCACTCACCACTTATATGTTCCATATATATACATACATACATACATACATATTGGTCTAAAGGGAGGCCACTTTTTTCCCTAGACCTGGCTTGTACAAAACCTGAGTATAACCCACAATAGGTATTATTCTTCAGTGTTCAGATTTTTTGTTGGTTTATTTCCTGCACTGGAACTTCATGTAAGAGGCACCGTGGCACGGGGGCCAGGAAGCTGTCCTTTGCTGAGTGCAATGGAACTAACCCTCAGCAAGTCACTTAACTTTCCAGTGCCCCAAGACAACTCTTTAAGAGCATATCATGGGTGTTCTTCCCCCGCTTAGAACAGAAGCTTCCCACAGGTAAGGATTTGTCCTTTTTTGCGTATATTTGTTTCCCCAGACTATATCATGTGCCTGATACAGAAGGTGCTGAACAAAGGCTTTATCTAGCATTGATGGAGAGAGTTTCCATACTAGACATTCACCTCAGAGATGAAATCATTGACCTAAACCTCCTTCACCCCCACCACTCCCACATTAAATTACCATTCAATTTAATTTAATAAGCACTTATTAAGCACCTACTTTGTATCAAGCATCTACCTCAGAGGCTTATATCAAGCATCTACCTCAGAGGCTTAATGTGAGGAAAGCGCTTTGTAAATGAAAGCACTGTGTGAAGAAGAATCATTATCTCAGGGGAGCAGCCTATATTTAGAACAATATGGTATCCCAGGCTCCAAAGTCTCCAATGGCCAAGTGGTTTGGGAAACACTGAGTTAGCTGTGGATGGGCCTGACTCATTAGAGGTTAATATGCCAATGAGCCAGGCCATTCCCTCTCCTTCCCACCACAGCCGTTCTGCTACACACACACACACACCACACACACACACACACACACACACACACACACACTCACACTCACACTCACTCTCTCTCTCCCCCCTCCCTACCCAGACATCCAAAGTCAGGGTTCAGCTTACTTTGTATCAAGTTCTATGAGATTGGTATCTATGGGCGCTTCATTCTCTGGAACTAAACACAGGGAGTTAGGACACGGGGTTAGTGAGTTTATGCATGAACGGTTGGCTGCCCAAGTCACAGCAACAATCGCCACACACAGAGAAGGAAACAGGAAGGGGGGGGCGGTGGGACTGAGTGAGGACTCGTCCGTCGCTTGTCTACAGGCAGCACAATTTAGTGAAAAGAACGTCAGACTTGAAGTGAGAAGAGCGGGATTCTAGTTCTGACATTGCTGCTCACGAGCTGTAGCACTTTGGATTAAGTCCTTTTCCTTCTATGAGACTCAGTTCCCTCCTACAAAATGAAGGCATTGGTCTAGTGGGCTTTTAACCTGGAGTTCCTGGACCCAAGAAGTCTATGGATAGATTTCAGTGGGTTTGTTAACTTGGAAGGGGGTAAAAATTGCATCTTTATTTTCACTAATCTCTACCTGAAAGTTAGTATTTCCTTCAATTATTTAAAAAACAGTTCCATAAGGGGCAGCTGGGTGGCACAGTGAATAGAGCTCCAGCCTCAGAGTCAGGAGGACCTGAGTTCAAATCCAACCTCAGATACTTACGAGCTGTGTGACCCTACACAGGTCACTTAACCCCAATTGCCTCAAAAACAAACAACCAAAAAAGCATTTCCTGGATTCTTTCACCAGATTTCCAAAGAGGTCCATGATACAAAAAAAAAAGAAAGGTAAAGAACCCTGTCCTTTCCTGCTCTAAGGGCCTAGAAATCACTTCCAGGCCTAGAAGGACTTTGAGTTTTCTTCTCTTTTCTTTGGTACTGGGGGACGCTGTGCTTCAGGGAGATTGGGGCTGTATATCCTTCCAAACAACCCCTTTTCTGGGACCCCCTCTGAATGGTACCATGCCAGAGCTTGTTCCCATCCCCCACTTCAATCCTCAAAGCTAACCCCAACATGAGACTAGAGAATTTGCAAGAGTTGGGATATGGAGAAAGCCTGTCCTCAGTATGGGCCGTGAAAGCATTGGAATCCCAAGGGTTAGGTGTCCAGAGGTCATTGTACCCAACCCCTTACCTCCAAGTTGGCCTGTGCTAACCTCAGTTCAAGGAGCCCAAAATGGAATAAGGAAAAGTTGTCTGGATTTGGAGGTAAAAGGACCTAGGTTCCCTTCAGCAAGTCACTTCAATGGGACTCAGTGTCCTCATCTTTAAGATGGGATAGGGGGTGCTGAACTTGATGATTTCTAAGGTCCCTTCCATATCAAAATCTATGATCCTATGAAATCAGAAGAGAATGACAGGGGAGGAGGAGTCTGTGCTTAGAAAGGCCCCCTGAGTCAAGAGACACCCCTAACTCAGTATAGGACTCCTGGTGGGATGCTTCTCATTTCTGGGCCTTGGCTCACCGTCTGGTCTCCACATTAACACTGTTTCCTCTGTTCTATGTTCTAAAGTCCCTTCCAGTTCTCATGCTCTGCTTCTAACCATGGTTCTTTATGCTGTGGTTCTAACATTCTGCGTTCTAAGGCACCTTCCAGGTACAATGATTTCCCCAGCACTGTTTTCTGTAACCTTCATCCCCAGCCCTAATCTTATCACAGGTCAGAGATGGACATGAAAGATGGAGCCAAGGTAGTTCCTAGGCTGACCCCCAAAGAAGTAGGAGAAATCCCCATCTTGATGGCCCTTCCCAATAATAGGTCAAAGGCATGGAGCTGAAGATAGAATATTAGTTCTATCAGTTCTTAACTGTGTGTCCGTGGGAAAATCATTTAATCCCTTTCAGCCTCAAGTTTCCTTATCTGCAAAATAGAAACACTTGCACCTTCTGCACTTCCCAGGATTATTGTGAAGAAAGAATTTTGGAAACCTGAAGCACTATAGAAAGGGAAGTTATTTCTCTTCTAATCCTGCTTCGTGGATAAGGCCCCAACCCTTCTAGACTCCCCCAAACATACTCACCTTCACGACGTACAGGCTCCTCTCTGGGCTTCGGGTGCATCAAGGTGAAGGGCAGTTCTACAGCCACGTCACTGAAACAGATATAAAAATGAGCTGAGCTCAGGTCCCACAGACTCTCCTAGCCTAGCCCTCCTTCAGGCCTCCCAAGGAGACAGGCTTCCCTCTGACGCTGGGGGATGAGGGGCGGGAGGGAGCATTTCTGTGTTCAACATTAATAAATCAGCTGGGAGTCAGATGTCTTGGGTCTGAGTACCAGCTCTGCCTCTGCCTGGCTGCATGACCTTGGGGGAAGTAATTTCCTGCCTTCTCCCCCAGGTCTGGCCCTCAGTTTCTTCCTCTGTAAAATGGAGGAAAATAACCCCTTCCCTGTCTCCTTTCTAGAGCTGTTGTGAAACATAAATGAGATCAGGAATGAGGAAAAAACTCTCTAACATGCAGAGGGATGTACATATGTGAGAGATGGTTAGTACAAATCATTACAGAATTATTCAACCAACATTTATGAAGCCCCTGCTTTATACAAGGTCTTATAATTAGGGCTGGGCACACAAAGATAGATATGTCACGGATTCTGCTCTCAAGGGGTTTATAATTAAGTGGGGGCAGGGCAGCTAGGTGGCACAGCGGATAGTGTCAGGCCTGGAGTCAGGAAGACTCCTCTTCCTGAGTTTAAATCTGGTCTCAGACACTTAGTGTCTGTGTGACCCTGGGCAACTTAACCCTGTTTGCCTCAGTTTCCTCATCTGTAAAATGGCTAACTACTCCAGTATCTTTGCCAAGAAAACCCCAAACGGGGTCACAAAAAGTCAGACATGACTGAACAACAGGACAACAACAATGGTGGCAGGGCAAGGGTGAGGGGGATGGGAGACAAGTACACAAATAACAGTGGTAGGAGAGAGGAAAATAAATGCAAAGAAGAGAAGTCCAGGCAAAATGTTATGGAAAATGTTATTAAGGAGGATAAAGGAAGACTTCAGTAATTGGAGAGATATTCATTGTTTATGGTCGAGCCATGCCAACATGATAAAAATAAAGCTGCTACCTAAATTAATTTACAGAGTTAATACCACATTAATCCATCTGCCAAGGGGTTACTTTAGATAATCAGATAAAATTATGACAAAATTCATTTGGAGGAGACTTATAATGGAAGTCATAAAAAAAGTAAGAATGAAAGGAGGCTAGCATTACCAGATTTCAAATTATATTACAAAGCAGCGATGATTAACTAAACTATTTGGTACTGATTTTAAAAGTTTAAAAAGTAGATCAGTGGAAAACACTAAGTAATCCATCCTTAGAAGTAATTCAATGCAGTATCCCAATGTTTGATAAATGCCATGCTCTACTAAGTAAAGGATTCTCTGTTTAACAAGCATGCTGGGAAAACTAGAAAGCATTCTGGCAGGAAACAGTCATCTTACACTACATACCACAATTAAGTTTCCAAACAGAAAATTAACTTAATATAAGAGTACATCATTAAAATAATATTAGAGAAAAGAAGAAGGTATCTTTCAAGTCTAGGATAGGGGAAGGAATTCATAACCAAATAAGAAACACAGTAGATCACAAAAGTCAACATTGGATAATTTTGATTAGAAAACATAAAATACTCTTGCAAAACAAAATAAATGCTGTTGTAAGAACTGCATTTATTATTATACTCACTTTATTATTATATTTATGACTATGTTCTATAATATACTGTTTGTATGTTATACAATTATATAAATTGTTATTATATATAAATATAAGTGAGAAAATATTTGCATCCAATTTCTCAGATAAAAATCTATTATCTAAAACATATAAGTAATTGCAACAAATACAAGGCTATGAACCATTCCTCGAAACTCTCACTAGACTCTACCTTCTCCCCACCAGCCCTCTTCCTATATGTCTCCTCTCATCGCTAAATTCCTTGAAAAAGCCATTTTCACTGGTGTTTCCACTGCCTCTCCTCATTTTCCTCTACAGTCTGGTTTTCAAACTCATTATTCGACTGAAACAACTTTCTCTGAGTTACCAATGATCTTTTCATTACCATATCTGATGGCTTTTACTTAATCCCCATCCTTCTTGACCTCTCTGCAGCCTTTGACATTGTGGACCACCCTTTTCACCTGGAAATCCTCTGTCTCTGGGTTTTCATAACACCTCGCTTTCCTATCCACCTGATGAATCTTCAGTTCTCTTCATTAGATCTTCATCTATAATCACACCTACTAACTGTGGATAGATGCCACCCCCCAAGGTTCCCTCCAGAGCCTTTTTTGATTTGCTCTCTACTTTCTACATTTGATCATCTCCATCAGTTCCCATGGGTTCAAGCACTGTATATATTATCCCCACATCTCTATACCTCGCCCTAGTCTATTTCCTGAGTGCTAATCCCACATCACCAACTGCCTAGTGGACATATCAAAATGGATGTGTCATAAACACCTCAAACCCAACATGTCCAAAAGAGAAATCATTACCAGTCCCCCCCCTCAAAAAAACACCCCACCTCTCCTGTTCCAAACTTCCCTATCATCGTCAAGGACACTGCCATCCTCTCAGTCTCCCAGCTCTGCAACCTTGGTGTTGTCTCAGACTTCCCCCTCACTCACGCCATATATCCAATCAGTTGATAAATCTTTTCATTTTCTTCTCAACCACCCTCTCCCACAGTCAACACTCTAGTTCAGGCCCTTACCACCTATCACCTGGACAACTGCAGTAGCCTCCTAGAGCTAGTCTTCCAGACTCGAATCTCTCCCCACTCCAATCCATTTTCTATCCAGCTGCCAGGTGATTTTTTTAATAGGACAGCTCTGACCATGTCACCCTCCTATTCAGTAAACTCCAACAGTTCCCTGTGACCCCATGCCTTGAATGCTCTCCCTCCTTCCCTCTGCTTCTTAGAATCCTTGGCTTCTTCAAGACTCAGCTCAAATATCACCTTCACCAGGTAGCTTCCCAGCTGTTGTGCCTTCCTCTCTAAGGCTGCCTTCCATCTACTCTATAAGGATCTTGTAAATATCTATTTATTAAGCTATGATCTCCTCATTAAATGTAAGCTTCCTGAGGGCAAGGGCTGCCTTCCTTTTTATAATAATGAGATAATATTTGTAAAGTGCTATATAAATTCTAGCTATCATTTATGTTGCCAGAACTTAGCACACAGTAAACACTTAATAAATGCTTGCTAAGTGATTAATTTAACAATGAAATGAAAATAGAACAGTGCCTTTAATTGGGAAATGGCCAAACAAACTGTGATTTTGGATGTAATGGGAAACTTTTACATCATAAGAAACAATACGATGAAGAATTAGAAAACGATGGGAAGACTGATACAGAATGAGGAAAACGGATCCAGGAAAACAACATACACAAGGTCTACAAGAATGCAAATGAAAACATTAAATACTGTTCCTAGAAAACAGAAAGAACCTCAGGAGAAAAAAGCCTCAAAGACAGGGAAACACAGGCATGTAAAATTATATATGATCTCAGGTAATTTTTTTAAAACTGTTTTTCTTTGCTATAAGGACCAGTTGGGAGTGGGAGGGAAGTGTATCAGGTTATAACTGTGGTCTAAAAACTAAAGGAATCGATAGATCAGTTTCAGCTGGGGACAACCAGGATGTAGCATTTGAGCTGGGCCTCAGTGGATTGATAATCAAGTTGAAGTCTATTATACATAGCCCCAGGCTAAGGAGTCACATGAGCTACAACTCTGTCTCTGACTTCCTGCGTCACCTGGACCACAGGTCTACCTAGCCCTGGACCCTGGACCCACCTAGACTTCTGAGAAATCCAAGACACCCAAGGCCCATTTTTGGGCCTTGGGTGTCTAGTCACTGAGGGACAATGGGCCTGGCCCAGATCAGAAGCAACTGGGTCATAAGGAGTTGAGTTACCTGGATGCGAGATCTCCCAACAGGCTGGTGCAGATCAGAGGAGGCAAAGAAGAAGGCAGAGTTCAGAGTGGGAGAGACCAACAAAGTCATCCATGCAATATCTGTGGCCCCCAGTGGGGATAAGTGAGGGAGCTGAGACCATCCTGGACTGCTAGCTCTCTACATTAGATACGGAATCATGATATTGGATAATAAAATTGGAGGGCAAAGAGTCCTAAACTCTCTGGATTCCTGACTCTGACAATGACTCCCAATGTGTCCTTGGACAAATCAATTTACCTCTAAAGCTAAAAAATCAGGTGGTTAGACTAGATGATCTCTAAGATGCCTCCCAGCTCTGACATTCTATGGTCTGAGGTCTCTTCCAGCTCTGAGATTCTGTGTTCTAGGCCTTTCCAAATCTGATGTTTGGAATTCTAAGGTCCCTCCCAGCTCTGACATTCTCTGATCTAAATTCCTTTCCAAATTTTGTATTCCAAATCTCTCCCACCTTTGACATTAGGCATCCCAAGGTCCCTCCCAGCTCTAATGGTCTAAGGAAGGGAAGAACCCAGAGAGAACAGAGGGGCCTGGCTCACACCTGGATGCAGTGCCCCTGAGGCACCTCTGGCTTGGGCCTCCTCCCACCTTGTACTGTCCTAGCCTCCGAGGGCAGGACCCAAGGCCATATCACTCACTTGGTTAACTTCATGCCCCGAGCAGAGAAAGGCTCCATGAGGTCTGAGATGGAGGGACATGAAGAAGAAGGAGGAGGAGAAAGAGGAGGGAGGTAGGAAGAAGATAGAGGGAGGAAGGGAGAAGGGAGGAAGGAAGGGAGGGAGGGAGGGAGGGAGGAAGGAAGGAAGGAAGGAAGGAAGGAAGGAAGGAAGGAAGGAAGGAAGGAAGGAAGGAAGGAAGGAAGGAAGGAAGGAAGGAAGGAGACAGTGGGAGAAGTAAGGGAAGAGGAAGGAGACAAGGATAAAACAGAGGTACAAAGGAAGGAAAATGAGGAATAGAGAAGAGGGAGGAGAAACAAAGAGAAAGCAGCAGAGATGAACAGGGAGGAAAGGATCAGGAAGAAGAAAAAGTAGGAAGAGAAAGGAAAAAAGGAAGGAAGAAAGAGGACTAGAAGGCAGAGGAGAGGAGCACGCAGAAGGAGAAAATGGAAGAATCTGCATGAGGCAGTGGTATAAGGAAGGAAGAAAAGATGGAAGAATAAGAGGAGGAAAAGGAAGATGGAGGAAGAAGAAGAGGAGGGATCAGGGGAGGATGGAAAATGCTTGGAGGAGAAGAGGGAGGGAAGAGGAGGAAGGACAAAGGATGAGGGAGGAAAGAGAAGATGGAGGAGGAAGACCCCACACTCCTTTCATTCTCCCCAGGTGAACCCAGCTTTGGGCCAAAGCCATTAAAGCTATCCCAAATGATGTCCCAACCACGGAAGGGATGGAGACAGCATTTGTGGAATGGACCAGAGCTGAGGCTGATCCTTCCTCCCTCCACCCTGCTCAGGAAGCCTCCAGCTTGAGGTGGACACCCCAAGGGGAGTTGGGAAGGGCTTGGTTTTGTGATGGGAGATGGAAAGGGTAGGGAGAGGGGAATGGAGGAGAAGTAAGGATGGGGTCCACTTACCCGCCTCGGGAAACGACCAGCTTGACTTTGACTTTGTAGGACACGATGATTCCCAAGATCTCTTTATTTGTGCCATCCCTCAACCTGCAGTGTTTGGGGAAAAAACAAGTCATAAAGACAAGAGGTAGGGGAAGAAAGACTACAGAGGAAGAAGCAACATGGGATAGATGTGGAAAGCTGAGCGGAGGAAGTGCAAGCCTCAGGATACCGAGGAATGGGCTCTGGGCCTGGGGGCAAGGGTCTGTTCTGTCACTGTGGTTACACTCACTCTACAACCCCGGCCAAGAATGGAGTACCTCAGACGCAAAAGAGACCCATGAGTCCATCGAGCCTAACCTGCACCAAACAAGAATGCCTTCTACAACATCCCTTCTCCTCCTCCTCCTCTTCCTCTTCCTCCTCAACATCAGCAGCAGCATCTATACTTTAAGGTTTTCAAAGCCCTTTATAAATGTTATCTCATTAGATCCTCTCAACAGCCCTATAAACTAGGTACTATTATTATCCTCATTTTACAGTTAAGGAAACTGAGGCAGAAGTTAAGTGACACATGATCACATAAATAGTAAGTATCTGAATCATAAATAGTAAGTATTGAACTCAGGTCTTCCTAGCTGCAAGCCCTACACTCTATCTACTGTGCCACCCAGCTGCCTAAAGTGGACCCAAGAAGTGACCATCTACATCTAGCCTTGGCTTGAAGACCTCCAAGTAGAGAGGAAACTTTCTATTGAATGGAATAATCCATTCTCCTCTTGGATAGCTCTAACTGTGAGGAAGTTTCTCTTAGAGACATCAATAGGGCACTGGACTTGCAAGTCTTGAATTAAGTTCAAATCTGGCCTCAGATGCTTAATAGCTGTGTGACCCTAGGCAAGTCCCTTCACTTCTGTCTGCCTCAGTTTCTTCCTCTGTAAAATGAGAAGCTTTTGGACTCAATGCCTTGAGGTCCCCTCCAGTCCTAAATCTATAATCCTCACATGGCCTCTCCATCTTCCTCCCAGCCCTTTCACTATTACTCCTGGTTATGCCCCCAGGGCCACAAATGGAGCAAGCCTAATCTCTCTTCCATGTGACAGGTTTTCCAATTCTTGAAGACAGCTCTAAGCTTCCTCCTAAGCCTTCCCTTCTTCAAGCTGAACCTTCCCAGTTCTTTCAATCCATACTGAAATGGGTCAAACTCAAGGCCTTTGGTGATAATAGCTAACATTTATAAACAGTGTTTAAAGGTTTACAAAGTTGTGTGTGTATGTGTGTGTGTGTGTGTGTGTGTGTGTAAGGGCAGCTAAGTGGCACAGTGGATAGAGCACCAGCCCTGGAGTCAGGAGGACCTGAGTACAAATATGACCTCAGACAGCCACCAGTTGTGTGACCCTGAGCAAGTCACTTAACCCCAATTGCCTCCCTCTAAAAAAAGTGTGTATCTATATGTATGTATATATGTGTGTATATGTGTATGTATGTATGTATGTGGCGGGGGCAGGTTTTGGGAGGGGAGGAGAGAGAGAGGGTTTGGGAGGGGAGGAGAGAGAGAAGGGATGGTCTCTAATTCTTCCTGAAATGGAATGGCCAAAAGTACACCCAATGCTCTATATGGGCAGAAGACAGTGGGACTGCCAACTCTCTTCCAGCTCACAATGTCTATGACTCTGTGGGCCAGGCCTGTTTACAACATACAGCCCTAGGGCTGCTTTTGGCAAGCCAAAGAAGCCCTTGGGCAGTATGTTGTACAGGTCTACTGTAGGCCTTGTGCTCTAGGAGTTCAAGGCTGTCTGGGGAGACCAGAATTTTCAAGTGAGAGGCAATCTGATGTCCTGAAAAGTGCTGGGTATCTGGATTCAGAAGACCAAAGTTTGAATCCATTTTGCTATTTTACCTGTCTGACCTGGGGTAGCTCTGGGTTCAAATCTCAATTTTACTCCTTCTAAACTGTGTGACCTTGGATAAGTTAACATCCCTTCTGTGAGCCTCCATTTCCTCATCTGTAAAATGGGAGGCTAGACTCTAACATTCTAGACTTCTCTCTCCTATCTCTTTTCTCCTTCCCCTGCTATTTAATGACTAGAGTCTCCTTAGACAGGGGTCTCTAGAACCTTCACCACCTTAACTAATTTCCCCAGTGACTGACATGGTAAGTGATGTCCCCCCCTCAGACCAGGGCTCCCCAAGATCAGGAGTCATGGCTACCCTTCCTCTGCCTCTTTTTTTGACAACAGAAAAACAGTTTTGCTCAGATCTGGAGGGAAGTGGGGATGAGGGGGTAAAGAGGAAGCATGATCCAAGGCCTTGACACGAAGGATGCTTAGAGAAGGCTGGGCTGGCAGGCCCACAAAAGGCAGAAAATAAGTAGCCAAGGCCAGGAAGGGGAAATGTGGGTCATGCATCCAGAAAAGGCCTGGAGAATGGGCAGTCATCATGGGGGATGGGGGAGGAATCAGGGGTATCCTCACAGGGTACTAGAAGCCAAGTTGGTGTCTTCATGCTTCAGCTTGCCATCCAAGGCCAGGCCTCGCTTCTCACGGTTGTTGGCCAGGAATGGGGTAAGGGTGTAGACTTTGCAGAATGTTGAACTTGGAGCCACCATATCACTGGAGAAAACAGAGGGTGAAAAATGGAGATTCTCTCCCTCCCATGGCCGAAACAGATAGGCAGGTAGACCCACACACACACCTGCTTGCGTTCTCTCGGGCTCTTGCTCTCTCTCCTTTCTCTCTCTCTCTCTCTCTCTCTCTCTCTCTCTCTCTCTCTCTCTCTCTCCTCTCTCACACACACACACACACACACACTCCCTCCCTCCCTCAGACCAATAGACTAATTGCGGAGAGTGGGACAGATTTTGAAAGAAAGGCCAGGTGGGACAATGCAAAGGATGCTGGGTTCAAAGTCAAGGGACCTGGGTTCAAACTCTGCTAATTATTACCTGTGTGACAATGGGTAAATCCCTTAACCTCTCTGGGCCTCAGTGTCATTTGTAAAGTGAGAAGAATGGGTTACACTGCCTCTATAAATTCTAACTACTAAATCATCCTGTCTAACCCTGCCTTGGGGGAATGGATGTGCTTAGCACAGTGCTTTGCACGCTGTAGGTGTTTAATAAATGTTTTTAATTGAATTGGACTAGCCTAAACAAATGACTGATTGATAGCATCAGAGCTAGAAGAGAGCTCGGAAGCCATTTGATCCAACCACCCTCATTTTACAGACAAGGAAACTGTAAAAAGAGGCCCGGAGAGATTAAGTGATTTGCTTGAAGTCACACAAGCATTAAATAGCAGAGCTGGAACTTTCTGCCCATGAGTCCTTTTCACAGTACCACGCTGGCCTCTCCCTGCCTCCTCTTCCCATGGGTCACATCACTGACGTTCCCAGAACCAGGACACATGGTATGAACTGCCTGGGCCCCACTGGGCAGGCAAGGGAAGCCTGCTGCCACAGGTGTAAGAAACAAGGGGGTCTACAGCCTGGAAGACAGGCCTTTAAGGTTATCGGCTCTTCCAAATTATATCCTGTTTCATATCTGCTTTTCAAATAAGTCATTGGCTGCTTGTTGGGGCTTTTTCTCAATCCACTGTTTGGATTATGCTGATCTAACATGAGCCACACTTTTATCATTCGCTCGTCAGTATTATCAGGTCAGCGTTTTAAAAAATTATCCATGCTGTTTTCCATTAACCATTTGCCGTTTTGGATCAGCTGCTTTTAAAAAAAAATCATCTAGCTATTTTCATACCAAGAAGCAGAGATCAAATGAACCTAGGGAAATCAGAGAGTCCTAATTTCAAGACCGACCTCAGACATGTCAGGTCCCAGCTGCAGGACCCTGGGTAAATCATTTAAATCTCATAGTGCCCTTTTATTGTTCAGTCATGTCCAACTCTTCGTGACCCCATTTGGGGTTTTCTTGGCAGAGATACCGGAGTGATATGTCATTTCCTTCTCCAGCTCATTTTACAGAAGAGGAAACTGAGGCGAACAGGGTTAAATGACTTGCCCAGGGTCACACAGCTAGTAAGTGTCTGTGGCTGGATTTGAACTCAAGTCTTCCTGACTCTAAGCCCGACACTTTATCTACTGTGCCACCTAGCTGCCCTCACAGTGTCCAAAGCAATTTATTAAGACTATAAATAGCAGGTGAGTCACCAATCTGCACTGGAGGAGAGAATTTTCACACCAGGTGACACCCCATGCTGACCAACTTGGAGAGCTACACCAAAGGAAAAAGACATTTTCTGCAACATTTATTTTTTAATTATTTGAAATTTTGAATTGTTTATCATTAGGAGGTTATTCACTCCTTAATTATCCATTCTCAATGGGGCAGGCAGGTGGCGGAGTGGATGGAACACCGGCCCTGGATTCAGAAGGACCTGAGTTCAAATCCAACCGAAGACACATAACACTTGCTAGCTGTGTGACCCTGGGCAAGTCACTTAACCCCATTGCCTAGCAAAAACAAACAAAAAAAAGTTATCCATTCTTGGATTATCTGCTTTTCAAAAATTATCCCTTGCATATCATATTATCTCTTATCATCCACGGGTTATTTAAGGGATTATCTATTGTTTGTTTTTTCTAAATTATCTATGGCATGAGAATTATCTCCTGCTTTTATTATCTGATGTGTATGCTGGAGGAGTTTGTGCTGATCTCTGCTTTTTTGGACTCCAGGACCTGACCCTCTCCCCCACACACACACCACTGGCACTGAGGGTCAAGGCTAGACATCAGAATCAAAATGCTTCCTACTCCTCCCGGGTTCCATAGGGCTAACTTACTCAGCCTCCTCCACAGCCACGGGACATTTGTACTGTGCCGTATTGAACAGGCAGATGTCGGCATATTGGCGCACTATGGGCAGAAAGAGAAGACACCTTACAAGGAGGAAACCCCAGGGCACCAGAGGGAGAATACCAGGGCAGCCCTCGAGGCAGGGCCTCAGCAGACAGGAGGACCTGTGGCCCACTGCCCAATGGGCAGCTCCCCTTCTTCCAGGGCAGCTGTGACACCACAATCACTCTACAAATGCCCAGAAGCATCCCACATCCCTTGGCCCTTAGAAGCCAAAGTCCAGCCAGAATACTGGCTGAGGTTATTTCACTCTACTAAACCTGTGTGGTTCACACACCCTCCAAGAGCAGCAAGCCCATTTACCAGCCCACATGGCCTTAACCATTCACTGCATGCCCGCTGCCTCCCCTTGGACCACTGAACAAGGCACTATGTGAAAGGCGGACATGGAGAACACTTTCACCAACCCCAGGAAGAGGGTGAAAAGGGCAGACCTCTCCCTACAGACTTCACCTAAAACCTGCTCTCCAAACCCTCATGTGCAGCTCTCCCCCCAATGCCCGAACCCCCAGGTACCTGAGATTTTTATCTTCTTCACTGTCTTGTTGGTGTTGTTGGTGACATGGACATTAACACTGATGGGCTCCCCATGGTAGTAGATCTGGGAGAAGGAGGAGTCATTGTGGTCAGGTGGGGAAGGGAACAAGGATTGATCAGTTTACAAATCTTATCTCACCAATCCACCGGTGGGGTCACCAGACCCCATATCTGTATTCCAGGTGGGTGCTTTTTCTCTATGAGGCTGTACACCTACTACTTCTCTGATAGCTGTCTTTGCTTCTGCCTCTTTCAGTCAAGAAAATTGTCCCAATTAGAAAGGAGAACCGCCTAACACCGTGATCTCAATAACACCAGAAGCAGATGAGGAAGGGAGAGGGAAAGTCCTTCTTCTAGACTCCCTTCCTCCAGTTTATTAATGTCCCGCAGGACTATCCTGGCCTACGCTCCTAGATACCACGTCTCTGTTAGGGACTCCACGCTCTCAGCAGGCACCTCTCTCCCCAGATGCCTCCTGAGGGGTTTTCCTACAGGCTTTGGGATAGTGTTGAATTGGGATCATTTCTTCCCCTGACAATAACAATAATAATACTAACAAAAGCATTTGTATAGCGCTTTACAAATGTTATCTTATTTGATCCTCACAACAACCCTGGGACAAAGGTGATTTTATTATCCCCATTTTACAGATGAGGAAAGTGAGGCAGACAGCAGTTAAGTGACTTGCCCAGGGTTGCACAGCTCATAAGTGTCTAAAACTGGATTTGAACTCAGGTCTTCATGACTCCAGGCCCACTGCTCCAGCAGAGGGCATGTGGTCTAACCTTTATATAGACGGAAATTCTCTCTCTGACATGCTTCCTCTGATAAAATGTAAGCTTGAGGGCAGGGGCTGTTCCAGGTTGGAGTTTTTTTGTTTGTCTGTTTGTTTTTTGAGGTATTTTGGTTTGTTTTGTGGCGCCTAACCCAGTGCCTAACAGTGCTCAGCAAATGCATGTTGTTTGATTCTCCAGACTAAATATTCCCCAGTACCTTCAAGTGACCCTGGCATGGGCTGATGTCCTGTCCCCCTCCCCATCTGATCATCCACCTCTAAACATACTTGTGGTCCATGAACTGGACATACTTCTTGGAATGGGATCTGATCAGGGTTGAGGCCAGGGAGAGCATCACTTCCCTCACCCTAGAGGCTAGGTCACTCGTTGTAGCCTAAGATGATAGACAGCAGCCTGCCACCACATCAGTCAGAAGCAGAAGACATCTGGGTCTGGCAGCTAAAGGAGTGGATGGCAGACCAGCATCTGCTAAAGTTGAATTGTCCACAAGTTGAAATCTTCAAGGCCAGATTCAAATGTCACCTCCTGCATGATGCATTCCCTTATCCCACAGTCAGAAAGGAGCCTTCCAGAGACCTCAGACAGGACTTGGATTCTCCTCTCTCATATACCCATCTTGCTCTATATTGTATCATTATTATCCACATATACATTGTGCCACTGCCTCCACCCCAACTACTGGACTGTAAGCTTCATGAAGGCAGAGACCGTGGACTAGTGTTTGTCATCTCATCTCCCCAACACATACACATTACACCCCAGTACCTAGTACAGGACTCTACACACAGTAAATGATTCCTATTTATTGAATGAACGAATGAATGAATGAACAGTAGGCACATAGTAGACATATGCTGATTTGTACCGAATGAATTCAAAATTTCCTGACCCAAAGGATACCCTGGAACCTATTTGCCTCTATTGGCCCCAAAGTTAAAGGGAAGCCAAAACCAAAATTGACAAGTTGGGAGAAGGGGTGCTACTACTGACTCCCATAAATCCCCAAACAACTACTTTCAATGGAGGGGGCTGCCCTTATTTATTCATAGAACTTTGGGGGAAAAGGAGAAAAATCCCAATCCTTCGGCAGAGTCGGTTGCCCTGATTAACTCCTAGCGCGCAGCTATGAGAGGAGATGCAGTCCTCCTTTCAGCAGCGGATGATCCTGAACTATCCAGTCTAAGGAGGAAATTCTCAGTGACCTTCTGGAGAGTCTATTCTCTTTATTCACTCACACCATGCAGGGAAATGAAGGGGGAAGGGGAAGGGAGCGAGCCCACACACTCATACAAAGCAGAGAATCTAAGCTTTGGAAGACAGCTCATCTATCTATCTCCAACCTGAGTATAGGACCCCCACCTCTTTAACATCCTTAACAAATGGTCATCCATCCTCCATTTAAAGACCTCGAGTGATGGGGAGCTCATTACCCCAAGGCAGCCCATTCTAGGAGATTAGTCCCTTTATATTTAACTGAATCAACCCATCAACAGGGTTTTATTAAGCATGTGCTAGGCCCTGGAAATACACATAATAAAATAACCCCTGTCCTCAAGGAGTTTATATTCTCTCCCCATCCCCCTCCCACCCCCAACTGGTCCTAGTTGGGCTTTCTGGAGCCAAGCATAACAAAACAAATCTTTCTTCTTTGCAACAAAACTTCAGATATTTGAAGGCTGACAGCCTCTCCCCCATCAAAATCATCTTTCATTCTTGAGTTCAAAACCCTAGAGGATCATGGCAAAGTCCTACCTCTGTCATCAAAACTGCCCTCCCTACCCTAGCTCTTTAACCACCCAGGGCCCAGTGCCCTTACCTCCTTGTCCAGAGAGGCCTCCAAGTGCAAAGGCTTGTCGGACATCAGAAACTGACGAGTCGTCTCAGCTGTGGGCTGGGGACCAGGCCTCTCCGGGGCATACTGGACCTTCCGGATAACCAGGCGCACAGAATTCCTGAACAAGCCAGGGAGAGGAAGAGATAATGCCACTGGGGGCAGACAGTTCAGTCTCCTTCCCAAGATTCCCCAACGTTTTTCTCTACTCCAGAACTCTCTCTAGCTCCCCCATCCCCACAGGATCAAGACCAAGCTGCTCATCCTAGCATTTAAGGTCTTCCAGGATCTGAACCCACCCTAACTTTCTGGCTTTATCTCCCTCCATGCACCCTTTGTTCTGGGAGCTTTGGACTTCCCAGAATATCCACATTCCTTCCTCCCTCTGTCTTCTGTTCATACCAATCCCCTTGCCCAGGACATTTCCAATTTCCAATTCTCCAAATCCTACTAGTCTTTCCAGGTCCAATTCAAGGTCTACCTTCTCCAAGAAGCTCTCTCCCTGGCCACTCAGCTTCCTCCTTTCCAGTCCTGACTGTCCCTACCACCAAGTACAGGGCTGGTTGCCCACATTTATCCCAGTGAGTCTTAGTTGGATCTGTGATCTGCCCTGGAGATGCTGTCCTCTCTTTCTTCTGCTGGGATTCCCTCCATCATAAGGCTAAGAACAGGCTGCTAGTGATGATGATGATGGTGATGATGATGATGATGGCTCAGTGGGGGGAGCTGAAGGTTCCATGTGGGGGATGCAGGACTTAGGGCAGGGGAAAGAGGCTCAGGGTGGATATGGGGATTCAGTGCTGGAGGCTGAGGTTCAGAAGGGGATGGGAGTCTCAGTGAGGGGGTGGAATGAGGACTCAGAGAAGGGAATGGAGATATCAGGGAGGGATGGGGAATCACTGAAGGAGAAGGAGGCTCAGTGAGGAGGATGAGGCAGCTCAGCAGAGAGGAACAAAGATGGTGCAAGGTTCAGAGGAAAGAATATGGTAACCTGGATCCAAATCTCAGTTCTTCCTTCCAGTATGACCATAGAATCCTTTACCTCTCTCTGGACTATTTCCTCATCCAGAAAATTAGGAGGCCGGGCTAAATAACCCCTCAAGGCCCCTTTTGGCTCTAAATATATGATCCCATGACCTAAGGGGATGGAGAAGTCAGTCAGGGGGAAGGGCTAAATAAGGAGGGCAGAGGATGAAGACTGACAGGGGATATAGAGTGCTTGGGGGGGGGGGGGTGAAGGAAAATATGAAACTCAGTGCCAAGTATGAGGGCTTAATGAGTGGGGGCGAAGGACCCCTCAGTCAGAGGGATGAGTACTCAGTGAGGGAACAGCAGCTGAGGAAGGGGGATGATGTCTCAGTAAGCAGACTGAGTGAGGGTCAATGGCTGGCTCTTTCCAGCTAAAACTAAGAGAATTGCTTGTAATATGATAAATGGCCACCAGATGGCAAAGCTGGCCCATACCATCTGGGTCTCCAGATTCTCTCCTTACGTTCGACCCTCATCCACCTACCTGGGCTACACAGGAGTGTTATTGATTGCCCCTATTTGGGGTTCATAACCTTAGGATAAAAAGCCTCCATCACCGCCCAAACCTTACCTTCTTTCACCTTCTGGGTCCCATTACTTAATCCCATAACTGACGATGTAATTTCCAGCACAGAGCTCATGCCTATCCGACTTCCTCTCTCCCTCGTGCCAAATTGTGTTTGACACTGACTCCTCTTGGAAGTCTCTTCCCTGATTAGCCCCCACACACCCTCAGCACTGGCTTTTTCATTCCCCTGAGGAAAAGGACCATGTTGCCCTTCTTCAGATAAGGGCAGAGGCCATGTATTTCCCCTCAGACCAGGGGCTTCCAGAATACTGGGAATACACCCTTGATTCACTTGGTGTCCCAGAGATAAAGAGGATACCAAATCCACTCTAGAATCCACTAGAGAGCTTCTGCTATATATATTCTCATTTCCTCTTTAGGGTCTCATGTTACAGGTGGGGAAAACTGAGATTCAGAGGGAATAGTGTTCTCTTTAAAGCCACAAGAGCACTTCAATAATTGATAGAAGATTAGAAACTCTAGCTCCCATCTTCTGCCTAGAATTCCCACTACCACCACCACCATGTTCACAAAATTCTGGGCCCTCTCTGAGCCCTGCTTGATGTCCTGCTCCTCCCTCCCCCCAGGCAGGGCTGACAAAGAGGATGCCAGGTCCTAGTTACCGTTTGTGAGTTTTCTCCTCCAGATTTTCTGCACAGAAGGCCTTGACTTCATAATCCACACCACAGGCCTGCAAGAAGATGGGGTACACTGGGGAACAAGGTATGCCCCAGGCCACAGGGACAAGGATCCCTCCCACGTGTGAAGAAGTGGGAACAGGACAGGAAAGCACAAAGAACCCAAGACCTAGGTCAAGAGAGCTGGGTTCCAGTCCAACGTGTGACCTTGGGCGAATCACTTTTTCAGACTCATTGTCCTCACTTGTAGAGATTAATTAGATCACCTCTGAGATTCCTTCTAAGTTTGCCACTCTATGTTCTAAGGTTTCTTCCCATTCTGACATCCTACGTTCTATAAAAAGAATTCCCGTTCTTTTAACCTAAGTCCCTCACAGGGTTACTCTGAGCAGGCCATTTCCATATGGACAGCCTCCATGCCAATTCCACCCCTCAGAGAACCCAGGGCTCACCTAGGGTGAGAATATTCTTACTGCTGAACTTCACTCTGCTGGATTAGACACAGAAATTTCCTGAAACAAATTTCAGGCTACAAAAATCAGCTCTAATGTGCTGGAAAATACAGAAGCTGTCTCATCACCCCTAGGAGATAAGAGGGTTGGGTAGTTATTTGACAGATGAAGAAAGTGACAGACCAGAAGGGGGGGGAAAGGCATTGCTTTCCTTTATTCCCAGAGACCTCAGAAACCAAACTAATGAAGTCAAGTTACAGAACCACGGAACGTCAGAGCCAGGAGGAACCTCAGAACACAAAACTTCTGACTTGGGAGAGACATTAGGGCATTGAATGTTAGAACAAAGAGCACAGAATGCCATAGCTAGAAGGAACTTTAGGCTATAGAATGTCAAATACAAGAGACCTTAGGGCACAAAATATTACACCTGGAAGAGACTTGAAAATACAGAGGGTCAGAACTTGAAGGGAACTTAGAGGTCATCTGGCACGACCTCTTCATTTCACAGCTGAAGAAACTGAGGCCGGGGAGAGCGGAGGTGACTTGCCCAAGGTCACCCAATTAAAAGTAGGTTCCTTCTTGGTTCTCTGAAGGCAGGGAGGGGCACAGTGGCCCAAATAATCCAAACCATTTGATAAATCAAAATGAAACCAGATCTACTTAACTTTGAAATGGATTATAATAATTTTTGGTTACAGCACATCCTGATTGTGTCAGACTTGGACTCATATCAGGATGAATCTGCCTTACCCAACCACTCCTCGGCAGACACAAATGAAGATTTCCTCTCTTCCTTCCCTCTAAATCCCTGCAAATCTCTGGTCTGCCAACCTTCAAGGTTCAAGAAGCCTTCTCTGACCACCTCAATCTACATGGCTCCCACCCACTTCTGTACCACAATTATAGGGGCAGCTCTTCCAAAACCTCAGAGTCACAGACCCTCAATGTCAGAAGAGACCATGGAGGCACCTAGTCAAATGAACAGAAATTCCTTCTACGATACCCCCAACAAAGAACCACCCCCATCTAGCCTCTGCTTGAAGACCCTCCCTCCCTTCCCCCATCCCCAGTGATAAGAAGCTCACCTTCCTCACAAGCAGCCCAATCCCTTTCATGGGTAGCTCAGAGCAAGTGAACATTTTTACTCATATGTAGCCAATATCTGCCCCACATATACCCACCCCACCTCTCTCCTTCCCACACTGTTCCTAGTTTTTTGTTTTTTTTTTTTCTCCCCTTGGGGCAGGGTGAGATAAATCTCCTTCCTCTTCCCTGGGCCAGTCTTTCCAAGTCTCAACCCACCCCACATGCCCCTCAGCTAAATGTCCCCAGCTCCTCGAATTCCAGTTCCTGTGAAATAGCCTCTAGACCCCTCACCATCCTGACTGGCCCAGCCTAGACACACTCTAGTTTATCAGCATCTTCCTCACCCAGAACTTAACACAATGCTGTAAACGTGGTCTGGCCCACACAGAAGGCAGTGCGGCTGTCACTTCCCTTCCCTCTAGACACTAGATTCCTATTCCTTTAGCCCAGCATCGCATTCTCTGGGGGTTTGTTGTTGTGGGGGTTTTTTTGGGAGGGGTGTTGTTTTATTTTGTTTTTGGCTTCACTTTGCTGACACACATCGAGTATAGAAACCCATGAAAAGCACCAGGTCTTTTTCACAGGTCTACTCATGCCTCACTGATCTTTTCCTTGGGCAATTGATTTTAAGATAACAAAAGTAATCAAGAAGGCCATTTTGCAAATATTTCACAGAATCATGGAATGGTGGGGGCAGAAAATGCTTTAGAGATCATGCATTTCCTAGAATCCTAGAATCTCAATGCCTGGATTTCTTTTCAGAAAGAGCACTGAGCCCCAAGTATCTGAACAGAAAATCTTCTCTCCATCTTCCCCAAAAGGACTCATCTAGCCTCTACTTACAGCCCTCCAGGGATGGGGAGCTCACTACCTACTGAGTTAGTTCTACTGCTACCTTGAATTTCATTTCACTCCACCTGGCGAACTTCATACTTCACCCTCACAAAGGGCCTGGGAGCTGCCTAAACTACTCCCATCCTTTTCTGCCTAGATATGGTCATCACACTGCCCATCAGGTCCTTGGGGGAGATGATCAAGAAGTCCAACCCCAGAAGCAATGTGCAAAACTGGACTTACCTTCCCTGTGTCCTCAGGCCCAGGCTGCAGTGTCACCGAGCAGGGCAAGTTTGGAGGGATCTGCAGAGAAAAGAGCTCGGGGTTAGCACACTCCCCCATCAGACCAGGGTTTGACCAGGTTCTCTCTGAGGTTAGGGCCGTGTTTCTCCCTCTATCCAGGTACTTTCTAAGAGAAAGGACAACATATGGTATCTGTCCTCCATTGGACCAGGACACCATGGTTCACTCCACACTGCCCAACCAGGACCATGAAGCATTGGGAATAAAGACTTTGTAGTCTTCAGCAGGGATGATAGTGACAGTGATAAGGATGGTGACAGTGATATCCCTTCCCAGTCTCTCATCCCCACAGTCCTACTGAGCTGAACAGGGCACATTATCACTGCTGTGAGAGGTGGCCCATGAAGTGCCTGGGTCCCAGGAGGGAGCTATTCCCCAGGAGGTGCCATCTTCCTCCCAATGTAGCAGGAGGAAAGGTGTTGATGGCCCTTGGGCTAATTTTAGGCAGCAGTGCTCTCCCCTCCCCCATAGGACCCTGCAATCAGGCTATGAATTAGGGAGGTGTCCGTTCTGCGCTGGTCTGAGCTTGAACAGAATTGCACCCATAAAACCTTTCTGGCTCCACCTGAGATTCCATGTGTGAACCTGGACCTGCCTTTTCCCCTCTAATGCCTCAGTCTCCTCATCTATAAAATCTGGCTGGTCTACTCAGTCTCTCAGATCCCTCCTAACTCTCACAGCATATGCTCTTAAGGGCCCTTGTAGTTGAGACACTGTGGGGCATCTTCAAAGGTCCCTTCCAATCCTAACATTCTATGGCCTATCCAGGGGTGGGGAACTTGCAGCCTGGAGACCACATGTGACCCTCTAGGTTCTCAAGTGTGATCCTTTGACTGCCAAAGGGCTGCACTTGAGGACCTAGAAGGCCACATGGGTCTTTGAGGCTGCAGGTTCCCCAGCCCTGGATGTTCTAAGGTCCTTTCCAACTCTGAGCATCAGTGAAATGAGGGCATGGCCTAAATGACCTCTGATTTCCTCTTTAGCTCTAAATCCATAGATTTATCCAGATCTCCAAATCCATAGACCAAGTCCTAGGATCATAGGTAAGTCACCTTGTCCTCTTGGGACTTTTGTTTCCTCTTCTGTAGAAAGAGAGGGTTGGACTGGATCACTTTGGAGGTCCCTTCTCTAAATCTATGACCCAAATCTGTTTCTGAGAATGCAGCACAAGAACATTAGCTTTTAGGGCTGTCACACCAACCACACTGTTGACTCATCTTGAGTTTGTGGCCAATGAAGAAAAGCCCAAGGGTTTTCTTACATGACCTGCTAGCAGTCCACACATGCCTCCCCCTACCCGTACAGCTGACTTTCGCTTTATGCCTGCTTCATTTAGACTGGGTCCACCCTTTCAGCCAATGGAGATCTTTTTAGATCTCGATTCAGCAATCCAAATTGTGAACAGCTTCCTCCCAGTGTTACATTATCTGCAAATCTGCTTTGGGCACCATCTCTAGCTTCACCCAAATCACTGACCAAAAATGGTGACCATCCCTGAGCTGAGTGAGGAAGGCGCTCTGGGGCAGTTTCTAAAGGCTGTCCTCCTTAGGATCACAGTATTTAAAGCTAGGACAGACCTCAGGGAATCATCAGGTTCCACATTTTAGGTCTTTATTTTATAGATGAGGTAAAGGAGGATCTGGCCTCTGTGTGACTACACAGATAGTACAGAGCTAGAATTAGAACTCAGGTCATCCAAATTCAAATTCAGCTTTTCCTCAATGTGCTCCTTTCCAATACTCTTTGCTGACTCTGAATCATCCAGCTAGCTCTGCGTCCTTCCCTCCTCTTGCTTCCCGCTATCTTACATCTCCTTTACCTTTCTTTATTTCCTTACCAGTTCTATTTCTGGCTTTCTTTGGACTTTAAAATCACGTCCTCTCCATCTTGGAGTCCTTGGGGCCTCATCCCCCTGGAAAAGCCTATTATTCAGGGAAGCTAGGTGGCACAGTGGATAGAGCATCAGCTTTGGAGTCAGGAGGACCTGAGTTCAAATCCAGTCTCAGACACTTAACACTTACTAGCTATGTAACCCTGGGCAAGTCACTTAACCCTGACTGCCTCACCGAAAAGCAAAAAACAAACAAAAAAAAAAAAGCCTGCTATTCCTGTGGCTGGCTCACCTTAGTACTCACCCACTCAACCCCGGTGAGCTCACGAGGCCCACTCCTCTTCTACCACTAGTAAGATCCACCTGAAGCCTCCATTCTGTGGATGAAGAGGCCCAGACCAACCAAGGGGCAAGTTAGGTGGTGCAGCAGATAGTGTCAAGCCTGAAGCAAGACTCATTTCCTGAATTCAAATCTAGCCTGAGACATTTACTAGCTGTGTGACCCTGGGCAAGTCCCTTAATCCTGATTGCCTCAGTTTCCTCATCTGTAAAATGAGCTGGAGAAGGAAATGGCAAAGCACTCTAGCGTCTTTGCCAAGAAAACTCCAAATGGGGTCACTAAGAGTCAGACACAACTGAAACAACTGAATAACCACCAGCAGCAGGCCAGCCTGCCTTCCATCCCCTCCCAGCCCAGTCCTGACCTTCTCTGGACTTTAAAACCATGTTCCTGTGCCAGGTACCTTTATTCCTTCCCTGCTCCTTTGTAGCTCCCTTTTGTGCACTGTCTTCCTTATTAGAAGGTAAGCTACTTAAATTTGTATGAACTAATGGGTCACACATGAGTCAAGTGAGCAGAACCAGGAGGACAATTTATATAGTAAGAGCAATACTGCAAGGACAAACATCTTTGAAAGACTCACAAACCCTGACCTGACCAAGCACAACTGACTCAAGGACTCAAGAGGAAACTCAACCTACCTCACCAGAGAAAGGTCAAAGGTATAGATTAAGGCATGTTTTTTGGACATGGTCAACGTAAGGATTTGTTTTACGTGACTATACATGTTTGTGACAGGGGTTTTGTTTTTCTCGCTTTCTCGACTGAGGATGTGGGAGAAGAATGTGAATCCAAAAATAAAATAAAATTTAATTTTAAAAAATGTAAACTCCTTGAGGGCAGGGAATACCTTTCTTTTTGCTTACATTTTTGTTCCCAAGACTTTGCACAGTGCCTAGCACCGAGTTAGCATTTAATAAATGCTTGCTTGTTTGATCCCTTCCTTTTGTTTTCTTCCCCTCACCTCCTTCCATCTATCACACCTCTCACCCACAGCTCACCAACTCTCTCCCAAAGGGGACGTACATATGTAAACATCCAACCCACCTTTCTCCAACTTGCCTAACCAGTTAATAAATAAGAACATATTAAGCACTTAATAGGTGCCTGGAATTATACCAAGTGATAGGGAGGCAATAGTCCTTACCCTCAGGGACCTCACATTCTAACCAGGAAAACACATTGTGAGAAACTTTGTGGAATACCTCGCTAAAATCTAGACCTATGATATCTAAGACATTTCCATGACCTCTCAGTCTGGTAACCCTATGTCAAAACAAGAAATGTGGTTAGTTTGGCATTATCTGTTCTTGGAGGAACCATGTTGTTTCTTGGTAATCACTGCTTTCCAAATGCTTAAATGAAAGAGGCAGCTTTCCAAGTATTCGGTAATGATCAAAAAACAGCAGCAGCTAAAGCTGGACAGCTCCTTCTAGGGTGACCCTATATAGCTTCATTTGAAGGAGATCTGAAAACTAGACTTTAATGGTCTGGGTAGTATCAATAATGGATAACTTCCTGGAGATGGTGAAATCCAGAAAGGAATCTTTGGGGCTAGGAGAGAACCCAGGGATCCCTCACCTCAAAGGTGAAGGGGTAGGCATGCTCTCCCAGTTTCCTGATGAGCCGTTCTTGGAGCCGAGTGAGGGGCCTGTCTTCAGGGGCAGGTGGGAAGGACTGGATGTTGGCCACAAATAGGTCCTTGCGGAAGGTCAGGCCCAGCACATCCAGGTCCTCCCGGCCATAGCGGAAGGCGCAGGTCAGAGTCACGTACACTGTGGGGAAAATGGAAATGACAGGAGTCAGAGAGTGGTGAGTCCCTCAGGCAGCAGCAATCACATCTCCAAGAATGCCCTCAGGCCATTCCTGAGAAGCCAGGCCACAGCAAGGTATCCAGCATGGAGGTCCAAGTCCCACAACGTCCTAAGAGTGGCCTCCTTCTCTACAAGGAGGTTGGATGTGAGAGGCAGGGGGACCACAGACTGCCATTCCTTTCCCGAAAGGAGAAAGCAGCTAAGGCCTGAGCTCCTGTGTACAGCCTCATCATACCTATTGGGAGGGGAGAACATGGTCCCCATAATATCCTATATATTAGACTTTGAGGCCTTTTTTTCTCCTACTAGAAAATTATCCTGAGATGACAGGGACAGGGGAATTCAGGAAGTCTTAGGGGTGGGAAGTTTCTTAGCTCAAGGAGCTTGGTAGAGATTAGAAGAGACTGGAGGTACTGGGAGACCCAGGGAGGGAAAGCAATGAGAGGGGCTAGGGGGATTTGGAGGGACCTATCTAATCTGGAGAAGGATAATGGGACTTTTATGAGACCAAGCAGCTGAAAGAGGGTGGTATATACAGGAAGTGATGTGGATTCCAGGAAAGAAAGACAAGGGAGGCTGGAATTTAGAGAAGCCTTCTCCTCCTCTTCTTCAGCCCCTTCCTCTCATCATACCCCCAGCCCCATGCCACATCTCAGCTTGGGGGGCTTGGTAAGGCTAAAGGAAGCTGAGAAAGGCTAAAGAAAATTCAGAAAGTATGATGATGCCATTGAACCCAGAAAAGAGAACACTGACAGAGCTGAAGACCTATTGTGAGATTTGTATAGGTCAAGGAATACTGTCTGAGATTAATCATTTGGTAGGGTTGGACAAAGCTAGGGAAGGCTAAGGGAGGCCAGAGAAACCTGGAGGAGGACTGAGGAAGTTGAACAAAGCTGGAGAACACTGTAGGGCCCAGGTTATCAGAAGAGGTCTGGGGAGGGTTTAGGGATGCCAGTATTAATTCTACTACAACAACTAAAAGTAACAAGAATAACACTATTTCAGATTCATATAGTACTTTAAGGTTTGCACAGTGCTTTACATAGGCTGTTTCATTTGATTCCCCACAACAACCCTGTGAGGTAGGAGCTATTATTATCCCCATTCTCAGTGAGGGGTTACAAGCTAAAAAAGGCTGGAGAGCCCTTAAGGGCTTAGTGAGAACTGAGGAGGGATGAGATTTAGAAGGCCCTTATGAGTTGGCCAAAGCTAGAGAATGGGTATGAGCTTGGGAGGCTTGAAGCTAGAGGAAGCTGGAAGGTTCGAGGGTGTCCCTAGGAAATAAGGAAGTTAGCAAGGGCTAGCAGAATCAGGTGGGAGAGGACTAGCTAGCCTGGAGAAGAACGGGAAGGGGGTCTGAAGTCAGGGGGCATGGAAGGGCCTAAAGGAAGTCAGGTGAGACTGGGACTCCTTCTCAGGGATGGTTAAGGCGATGGAGGACAGGCTGGTCTGGTCTGAGGGCAAGTCTTGGCTAAGCTTGAATGAGGGAGACTGAGAAAGGCTAGAGTGAAAAGAGGACAGAGAAACATAAGTTGGTCCAAGTGAGGTAAGTCTAGAATAGGCAAGGATGAGGAGTGTTTTCTCCCTCATTTGTGGGGCTGGATGGCAGGAGGTCAAGGATCAGGAGAGAAGAGAGGGAAAAAGGAATTGGGACAGATAATCAATATTGACGTTCCCTTGAGACAGGGAAGGAAAGGATAAGGGAGGTTAGGAGTGGGGCTGGACCAAAAAGTGAATGGGGAAGGAGACAAGAAATCACACAGAAGAGGTCTGGGAGGGAGGACAGGGCAGGAGACTCACCTCTTCTCTCTTTGAGGTACTCAGGATCCACCAGAACCACACCATCTGAAAGAAATAACAGTGGAGAGGGGAAAGAGGGAAGACTCTTGACCCAAGTGCTCCCTACCGTCTGACTCTACCCTGTAACCCAAACCTACTAACTAGACTACATGCACATTCCAAACCTGAATTCACCATCCAAAATCCAATCTCACCATCCTCTTCTTGAATTCATCAACTCAGGCTACATCTAACAACCAGACTCTGGATCCCAATTCCCACTAACCCAACCAAATTCATACAATGAAAACTGCTTGAGGTTAAAGACTTAATTTTATCCCTAGCACCTAGCCTGGTATGTAGTTGTTAATTAATTCATACATGTTCAATTAGATTGAATTGAACTGAGTATATCATCTACACCAAAACTAATCCAACCCTACATTTGTGATTATCAACCTGAATTTAGCAATCTAACCCTGGGCCCAAAACCCATTAACCCAAAGATGAATTCTCACCAATATTACTACAATCACATCTTCACCTATCCACCAACTCTATCTTAAACTCCAATCCCACCAACCCTGCTCCCAATCCCAACCTTCCTCCTCAACCTCATTCTGTACACACCATCCCTGTTACAAACCCCAATCACCCCAATCTCACCAATGTCACCATGAACTCACCAATCCTAACCCAAATGCCAATCCCATACACCTATCATCCCGCCACCAAACACATTATCCCTACTCTAAACTTCAAACCTTTCTACCAAACATTCTACCAATCCATCCTCTTACCTCAAATCTCTAATTCTACACTGACGCTTGACCTCTGAACCCACTACCCTTACTCTAAAGTCATCAGAATCCCAGAATGCTACAGCTGGGAGGGATCTGAAGAGGTCATCCAATGAAGCTCTACCTTGTGTTAGAGATGAAGAAATTAAGCTGCTGATGGCAAGATCTGGGACTCAGACCCAGGACTTGGGGCTGTTTTCTATACTTCCTTCCAATCCTATCTGAAAACTGTACCCCTGCCAAACCCTGGATCCGTAAACCCTACCTTGACCCTGTTGGCATCCCTCAAGGCCCACCTTGGATAAAACCTCCTCCAGAAAGTCTCCAATAACTGCAAGTGATCCATCTCTTCCTTCGGCTTTCATAGGACTTCACAGTCCTCTTTACGTGTCTGTCCTTTTCTAATTCACATTCTATTTTTCTGCCTGTGCATTATCTCCCCCTACCAGATGGTTTCTCATTTATCTCGGCATGTGCCCCAGCACTGAGCATAGGACCATGCACAGAGCAGATGTTTAGTGAATGTTTGTTGGATGAATGAATGAGTGAGCAAATGGACCATGAACCTACCAGCCTGACTCTCCTACTCTCAGCCCATCCTAAGCCGAGCCCTGGAGCTTGCTGCCTGGGGCATCCTTAAAAGCTCAGAGATGTTTGTCATGGGTTGCCCTGCCTCCTGTCCTACTGTCTCTGAAGGAGAGGACCTTTTCTCCTAACTGGCCGAGCTCCCTATTCTGATGCTAAAGCCCTAAGCCTCCCTTACTGCCCTCCCCAGATACCACAACGCCAGAGCCAAGAGAACCCATGGTAGAAAGGAGAGTGAGAGTCTCTGGAGGGAAGGCTGCTGTTCTCCATTAATTCCATAGACTGATTTCTCTTGCTCCCTGGGCTGAGTCAATCTCCCCAGCCAGCGCATCCAGAGAGACTCCAGCTCTAGGGCTTCTGAAAAGGGGGCAATTTAGAATCACAGATCAAGAAACAATAGAGAGGCCTCAGAATCTATTGTAGGACATGGAAGCATCAGAGCTGGAAGGCACCATATTAATAAGAGCTGGCATTCAAGAGGGCTTAGAAGCTCACAAAGCATGTAACATCCATTGTCTCATTTGAATCTCACAATGACCCTTGGGAAGCAGGCACCACAGAGGTTAACATCTCCATTTTACAGTGGAGGGATGGCTCAGAAGAATCAAATGATTGGCCCCACATTACTGGCCCTACACCTGTCAGAGGTGGGATCTGAACCCAGATCTTCCTGACTACAAGTTCTGCTATGCCACAGTCGATAGCAGCTGATCTATTAGGGATAGACGTGACTTCAGAAAGTCAGGGTTGAAAGGGAGGGGGCCTTAGCACAAAAGACACCAAGTCTCAGGGCTGGGAGGAACCTTAGAGATCATCTAGTTCAATGCTCTCAATTTACAGATAGGGAAACCGAGGCCCAGAAAAGGGGAAGAGGCTTGTCCAAGGTCACATAACTAATAAGGATCAGAGCTGGCAGCAAGATTCAGGTGTCAGGATCCCCAGGCCAATGCCATTTCCATGCCACCAGCTGCCTCTCTTTCTCTTGCAGGGGAGAGAAATTAGAGAATGAAATGCTTTTGCAAATGTATAATCAGCAGGATTTGTAAATTAAATATATATCCAAAACATCCCCAGGGACACAAGGTAACACAGCGGCAATATCTCTCTCCTCCCCTTTGCCTCCCTCTGTGTGTCTCCTGTCTTTGCCTCCCTTTTCTCTGTATATCACTCTATCCTTTCTCTCTTCTGTTTCTCTGATAGATGGGTGTGTGTATGTGTGTATGTGTGTGTGTGTGTATGTGTGTGTGTGTGTGTGTGTGTGTGTGTGGAGAGGGAAGAGGAGAGAGGAGAGGGAGAGGGAGAGGGAGAGGGAGAGAGAGAGAGAGAGAGAAAGAGAGAGAGAGAGAGAGAGGGAGAGGAGAGAGAGAGGAGGGGAGAGGGAGAGGGAAGGAGAGAGAGGAGGGAGGAGAGAGGAGAGAGAGAGAAGAGAGAGAGAGAGAGAGAGAGAGAGAGAGAGAGAGAGAGAGAGAGAGAAAACCATCTTCATCTCTTGTTTGTCTCTCTCCCTTTCTCCATCCTTTTGTAATGTATTTTCTCTTTCTCTCACCATCTACATCTCCCTGTCTTTTTCTATCTAAATTTGTAATTAAATGTCAATACTATTATATAAATATTATTAAACATTAAACACAAATCCTCTCCTGCGTCTCTCTGCATGTGTGTGTGTGTACACAATGTACATATCCCCTCTCTTTCTCCATCACCGTCTCCGTCACTGTCACAGACCCTCAGAGGTGAAAGGAATCTTAAAGGACAAAAGGGCCCTAGGACTAGAGCTAGAAGCAAGGCCTTGTCATCTAGGCTACAGATGAGGAAACTGAGGCCTAGGAGGTTAAGTGATTTGCTTACGGTTCCACTAAGTAGCAAGCCTCAGAGGTAAGGCTTTGCTTTGTCACATGCTCCAATGACAAAATCACTTCTACATGTCTCTCCTTTGACCTTTACTCACATATTTACTCTCCATCATGCTCTCCCCAATCTGGTTCCTGGATTTCATTACACGAGTATACTTTCTTTTTTTAAATTAATTAATTAACTTTTAATTTATGGAATAAAACAAGCATTTCTATAATATAATAAAAAAAATTATTGCACATGAGTATGCTTTCTTAATATACTACTGTATGGGGGGCAGCTAGGTAGTGCAGTGGATGGAGCACCAACCCTGGATTCTGGAGGACCTGAGTTCAAATCTGGCCTCAAACACATAACATTTACTGGTTGTGTGACCCTGGGCAGGTCACACAAACAAACTACTGTATGCTACTTTCTCTGCCCTCCCCCTTTTTATCTACCCTATTTCTTTTAAATAAGGTATGCCTGTCCAGAGCCATGGTACAGTCACATGGCTTGGCCTACCAAGTCTTCACGACACCTATGAAGTCAAATTTGACCCCTTGCATTAGGACCCCTACCTCCTCTTTGCTTGTTGCCTAAGCTTTTACCATTATTATAGCAATAGGGTCTATACCAAGATGGTGGCTGCGGGAATGCAGGAAGAAATGAATGCAAGACATGGTGTGGAAATGCAAATATTGTATAGCATTGCAGATGAAGAGGTCTGGGAAAGGGAAGTATCAGAGATCTCCCCAAGGTTAGGAACATGGGAGACAAGTATAATATAGTGGCAAGAAAGAACACTGGCTCTGCAGAGGACCTGAGTTCAAATACTACCCCTGATGCTTACTACCATGAGCAAATCACAGCCTTCTAGGGCCTCAGTTTCTTCATTGGTAAGATGGCCTCTGAGATCCCTTTCCCATAATGCTATTACTTCAATCCTGGTTCTCTGACTCCACAGCCAGTGTCTTTTACTGCTGCCCATCTAGTTCACTCCCCACCCCCATTTCATTGTGTAAGAAACTAACTCAGAGAAGGGAGTGTTTTGCCTAAGGTTATATGGCAAGTCAGGGGCTGTCAAGAATCTTAAAGCACATGCTTCCAGGAAGTCTTTTCTGTCATCCGACCTCAATCCTTCCCACTGCTGCACAGCACCCTTCCTCTCCTCCTGTTGGCCTCCACCTAGCTGGTGGCCAACGGAGTCCCTAACCTGCATATGGAGGCCCAACAGAGCTCTGAGGATGAATACATGCTAACCTTGACCCTCATCTTTCTGGAAGCAGTTTCTTACTCCCAAGTTTCTCAGCTTCAAGTCTCCAGCCCTCAAATACCCCACCCAGCAGGAACTTACCGACGGGATCAACGATATCGATGTGGTCCACAAAGTCTCTCTTTCCCAGGTAGACTGTGAGCTAAAGAAGAGAGACAATAGGACAGTTAAAGGATGTGGGCCAAGAAGCCAGATGCTCTGATCAGCTTCCAATGGGGGTCCTCACCAAAATCCTAAACCGGGGTGGGGTCTCGAGGTCACATGTAATTTTCTAGGTCCTCAGGTGGGGCCTTTTGCCTGAGTCCAGGGTTTACAGAACAAATCCTTTTATTAAGGGGATGTGTTCTGTGAAGTCTGGATTCAGTCAAAGGGCCACACTCAAGGACCTAGAGGGCCACATGTGGCCTCGAGGCCGCAGGTTCTCCACCCCTGTGCCAAACCTCTACCCTCACTATCCCTCTCCCAAGGCTATGGGTGGGACAACCATAGACTAGCAGGCAGGGTAAATCCCCAGGAAACAGGAAAAGGAGTAGATGGAGATTCTGAAGGGCAGAACTTCTGGGGACAGAGCTTCCTAAAATTGAGTATACCTATTCCTTGAGGTCAAGAAGACAAGCTTTTGGGTCTCCTTCTGAGCAGAGCTCCCTAAAGGTGCCTCCCTCTCAGTCTGAGGCAGTGGTAAGCTGTAGCAGCTTGGGAATGGGGGAAGGGAGAGAGGCAAATGCTACAAATATGGGCTAGATTTATCATTTTGTTGATGATCTAGACTTAAGAAAGTGATGAAGAAAATGCTAATAAAGCAGGTTATACTAAAAAGTGTGTTGTGGCTATATTTTTTTCCCCAGACAACTAATTGTTAAACATTTACCAGCACACCGCTGGACTGGAGCTTCCCTGAAGGCTGGGCATGTAACTCCCTCTTCCAACTCCAGTCCATCTTTTTTCTTAGATGGCTCATTAACTACGTATTCTTGTATCTGGGTCATAGGGACCAGGTAGAAGCTAAGGGTGGTGCGGGGAGGGAGATAAAAGAAAATAATACTTATTATTGTTGTTATTGTTATTGTTATTATTCAGTGAGGAGAGAGACTTTGATATACTGCACTCACCTTTCCATTTGGACTTGCCTTCTTGAAAACTCTGTAAGAAAGGGAAAAAGAGAAGGATCATATGTTAGCAGGGCCTGACATGAAGGAAGGGAAAGGCAGCCCTGCATACCTGCAGGAACAAGGAGATGGGGCCCAGTGAATTAAGTGCTGGTTCTGGAGTCAGAAGAACCTGAGATCAAATCTTGCCTCAGACACTTGCTAGCTGTGTAACCCTGGACAGATACTTAATCACCCTGAAACTCAGTTTCCTCATCTGAAAAATGGGGATGGGGCAGCTAGGTGGCATAGTGGATAGAGCACTGGCCCTGGATTCAGGAGGACCTGAGTTCAAATTCAGCCTCAGACACATAATTCTTACTAGCTGTGTGACCCTGGGCAAGTCACTTAACCCCATTGCCTAGCCAAGAAGAGAAGAGGAGAAGAGAAGAGAAGAGAAGAGAAGAGAAGAGAAGAGAAGAGAAGAGAAGAGAAGAGAAGAGAAGAGAAGAGAAGAGAAGAGAAGAGAAGAGAAGAGAAGAGAAGAGAAGAGAAGAGAAGAGAAGAGAAGAGAAGAGAAAAATGGGGATAATAACAGCACCTATATCCCCAGGGTCATTGTGAGAGTAAAAGAAGAGAATATTTGTTAAGTGGTCTGAAATTAAATTGAATTGTTTAAATCGCTTATAAATTTTACTAATTATCATTTGTTTTTTCTTTTGTTTTGTTTCATTTCATTTTTTTAACTAATAAAAATCTATTTTCTCTCTCTCCTACCTCCTCCACTACAGAAAAACAAAAAACTCTTGAGACAAATATTCACAGTCAAGCAAAACAGACTGTCCAGGAGTCATTTGCAATCATTCTTCTCATTAGAGAATTGCTTCCTCATTTGACAAGAGAAGTAAACTGAGGTCAGAAGAGGTAGAGAGATCACACACCAGGTCAGTGGCTGAGGCTAAGTAGGCCAGCCCTTAATCTCCTGCCTCCTGGGTTGGTGCTTTTTCTACCAAAGAACACTGAAGGCTTTCCCTCCCCCCTCTGCCCCAGAAAGGTCCTTTCTGCCTCCTGCTTCAGGAACAGGGCCCAGATCATATCATAAACTAAACAGATGTTTGTTGAACTGGATTGAATGGAATGATGAAATGCAGATTAAAACAAGTGAGGTTTCATCTCACACCCAGCAAACTGGCAAAGATGATGAAGGACAGAAATAGTCAATGCTGGAGGGGAAGATGGGAACACTAATATGTTGTGGGAGCAGCAGTGAACTGGTCAAACCATTCTGAAAAACAACTTGGAATTATTTAAGAAAGTCCCTCCAAGGTTTTATACCCCTGGGTCTGGCCATTCTACTACTGGGCAGAAACCCAAGCCAGTTGAAGACAGAAAGAAATGTCTAAATCTACCAGAATACACACAGAGACACTTTTTGTAGTAGTAACAAAATGAAAACACACATTACTGCCCATCAACCAAGAAATGCTAAACAAATCATGGTGTGTGAATATAATGGAATAATATTGAATGGTAAGGACCTACAAATAGAAACAACTCAAAAATAGGCAAAGATTTGTATGAATTGGCATAGAGAAAAGAAAGCAGAACTGGGAGAACAATATGTACTCTGTCTAATAATAACAATAACAGTAACTAACATTTATGTAGTACTTTGAGGTTTACAGAGCACTTTACATGTATCGTCCAACTTGCTCTTCAATGACAACCTTGTTTGGCAGGAGCTCCTGTTACCTCTATTTTACAGATGAGGACACCAAGGTTGAGAGGGTCATAGAGCTAAGAAAGTATCAGAGGTAGGATTTGAGTTCAAGTCTTCCTGGCTCCAAGTTCAGCACTAGCTGATCCATTGAGCCCAGTGGTTGCTTCCATGTACAATAATGTACATGAAAACACTAGAGGCAATCAGAGAGGACTCAGATGAAATACAGTGACCAGTCTTGGTCTTAGAGAACAGATGCTGAAGCCTATTTCAGCCCTCTCAGCAGAAGTGCTGGACTACAGCTGAAGAAAGTAGATTGTACTATCAGACAAGGGTTGTTTATTTGTTTTCAGATGATTTTGTTTAACTATTTTTCTTTCTTACAAGAAAGAGGACTGGGGGGGAAGCGAGTGCCATACCTGAAAATGACTTCAGAAAAATAACCACAGCAGCAACAATAATAATGGTTAGCATTTGTTTATATAGCACTTCAAGATTTGCAAAACACTTTACAAATATTATCTCTTTGGATCCTCACAACTCTAGCCAGTAGGTACTATTATTATCCTCATTTTCCAAGCGAGGAAAGTGGGGCTGGCAGAGGATAAAGAATGTGCCCATGGTCACACAGCTAGCAAGTATCTGAGACAGGATCTTAACTCGGGTCTTTCTGATTCCAGGCCTAGGGGTCTATTCATTGTGCCATTTAGAATCAATACAATTTTAAAAGGCTGAATTAAATGACCAATGGCATGAAACAAACTGGAAGGGGAAGGCACAATCAGAGCAAACAGGAACAAAAGAGAAATAGAGAGAGGAGAGGAGAAGGGGGGAGGAGAGTGAGGGGGGAAGGGGGGAGAGGGGGAGAGGGAAGAAGAGGAGAAAGAAGAGGAAAGAGGGGAAAGAGAAAGGGAGAGGGGGGGAGAGAGAGAAGAGGGGAAGGAAGAGGAGGGAAGAGAAAGAGAAAGAGAGAGGGGGAATAGGAGGAAGGGGAGAGAGAAGCGAAAGAGAGGAAGAAAAGAGACAGAGACAGAGAGAGAGAGAGACAGAGAGAGAGAGAGAGAGAGAGAGAGAGAGAGAGAGAGAGAGAGAGAGAGAGAGAGAGGCTTGCACACCCACTAGTTCCTTGTGTTGAATTTCTCCTCCATATGATTCCAGAAAAGCCCTGATGTCACCAGAGAAACATTTGAGTGACATTAAGCTCTACAAGCCCACGCAATGCACAAGCCTCCAGTTCCTTCAGTTTCATGCCATCACAGGCTCCGGGGGTAGAGAGGAAACTCAGAGCACATCTCGGCTCACCTCCCACTCGGTGCAGGAATCCCCTGGGCAGCCTGCTTGGACAGCTCCAATAAGGGGGAGCTCCTCACTTCCTGCAGGCTGCTTGCTAGAAAGGCTTTCCATCTTTCTCAGCAGAAATCTGACTTTCTGAGACTGCCCTCTCCCTCCCATTTCTGCTCCCCGGGATCAAAGAGAATAAGTCTAACTAACCCTTCTTTTGCAAGGGCCACCCTTCAGATACTCTCAGATGCCCTCTATTAATTATTCCCAATTTATCCTGTACGTGTGCTTGTTTACACATACTGTTTTCTCCCTCATGAGATACTGAGCTCCTTGAAAGAGGGGCTGACTTTTGCCTCTTTTTGTATCCCCAGCACTTAGCACAGTGCCTGACACATAGCAGACGCTTAATAAATGTTATTGATTGATTGAAAACAGCTCGCTTGTATCTATGTGCGCTCCGCCCTCCCCCCTGCCCCCAGCCCCAATCTTCTCGGCTCCAGACTAACATCCCCAGCCCTTTCACCCACCTTCCTGTGGATGGCAGGTCTCCAATCTCACATCCCCACCCTCATCTCCCTCCTCCCACAAGGAGGCAGCTTGTCAGAGTCCTTCCTAAAATGTGGCCAGGAGCTGACCCTCCAGATGAGCCCTGACTCAGGCACAGGACAATGGAACTGATGCCTCCCTTGTTTTGGACACTAGGACTTTATTCATTCAGCTGAGGATAAGATTAGCTTTCCTTCTGTCAATGCCCCACTTTTACTCGTGGTGAGTGCAAACGCAATCTACTAACACCCCTTGGATATTTTTCACACAAGCTGCTATCTAGTCATCTCTCTTACCATGGATTTCACGGAGATAACTTCTCAAATCACTCCAATTCAGTCAGTCAAGAAGCATTTATGAAGCACTTACTATGTGCCAGGCATTGTGTTAAGCACTGGGGATATGAAGAAAAGCACAAGACAGTCGCTGCCCTTCAGGATTTCACAATGCAGTAAGGGAGAAAGCATGCAAACATGTACAAACATGATAGATACGGGCCTGATAGGAAACAGTCAACAGAGGGAAGGCACTAGAATTAAGAGGGATTGGGAAAGGCTTCTTGTAGAAGGTGGGATTTTAGCTGGGACTTGAAGGAAGCCAGGGAAGCAGAATTCCAGAAATGGAGTTCTCTTCCCACACGCTCCCCTGGCCATGATCTGCTGAATTTGAGAAAAGGAGCTTTCCAAACTGGCATGGGCTGCCTTATGAGATCCTAGTCACTAGAGATCTTCAACCAGAGGGGGAAGGGAGGGAAGGAAACAGGCATGGATTAAGTGCCTATTATGTGCTAGGCACTGTGCTAAATGCTTTACAATTATTATAATTCAACTCTCACAACCACCCTCAGAGGGAGGTGTTATTATTACCCATTTTAGAGTTAAAGAAACTAAGGCAGACAGAAATTAAATGACATGCCCAGAGTCACCCAGATAGCTAGTAAGTGTCTGAGGCAGAATTTGAACTCAGGTCTTCCAGATTCTAGGCCCAGCACTCTATCCACTGCACTGTCTTGTTTGGACATGTTTGCATGCTTTCTCCCTCAATGCACTGTGAACTCCCGGGGGGCAGAGACTGTCAGATACTTTTCCTTATGCCACAACTACAATGCTTAACACAATGCCTGGCACATAATAGGGGCTTAATAAATGCTGATTGACTGACTGACTGAATTGGAGTAATCTGAAATGTTAACTCCATGAAGTCCATGGTAGGAGAGTTGGCTAGACAACAGTTTATGTGAAAAATATCCAAGGGGTATGTGTGTATGTATGTGCATATATGTATATGTATGGTATGTGTGTGTATATATATGTATACATGCATGCATTGTGTGTGTACATATGTATTGTGTGTTGTACATGCATATATATCTATGTGTGTGCAGCTGTGTGTATGTACATATATTACGTTACGTGTGTGCATGTGTGTATATGCATATATACACATCTATGTGCATATGCATGTATGCATTATATGTGTGTACATGTGGTATCTCTGCATGTGTG